CAACATTATGGCTTTCCATTACTAGTTTTTTGACGCAATAGTAGATAGACATAAAGTACTTATATTGAATGATTTCCCTTGTGGTTCCGCTTTACTGAGTTATTGGCGACAATATATGTACTCGTAATATCTAATACATCTACGGATGTAATGTAACATCATGGTCATATTTAGATTATGCCTACCGACAGGTGTAGACAAATTTAAACTTCGTTGTATTTATGATAATTTAGATGGGTATAGCCGGTATAGCAATAAAAAAAAATCATAAGACTCATCTAGTTATATTGATTTTGTATGTAATATGGGTTGCGAAAACCCAGTACCTAGTTTCTTAAAAAAAAAAAAATACAATACGGTTTCCTACAGAAATATATTCCATTTTCAAACTGAATTTAAGAAAGGAGGTTATCACGTCTTCTTTACCCACTTCATTACATGTGCATACATATCCTAATCCTCATTTGTGATAGCTATATAAGTATATATAGGTACCTATTTACCTTAATAAATTGCTAGGTATCTAACACGACGTAGTATAAAATAAAGTTGCTTTCCTGTCCCTGTATGTCCTTATATCCCTATTAGTGCTTTAATCTTTAAAACTACGCAACGGATTTTGATGCGGTTTTTGGTTGAGTGCTTGAATAGGAAGGTTTATAATAATATGAATATAAACATCCATTATGTAGCGGAGAAAGTCGGCGTAGGTCACTAGTATATACTAATATTATAAAAAGGTATTGTAAATTTGTATGTAGGGGGTAATATTTGGAACCGCTGGTCGGATTGCCAAAATTCTTTCACTGATATATAACATCACGCTATGATCAAATCGGGCCAGATGAAACGCAGCGGATGAAACCGCGCGAGGGTAGCTATTTGTTGTATAAAACATTAATTAGGTAAGTACAGCGTATCTATTTTATAGAAAAATGAACTTCAAAATATGTCTGCAACGTAATTTAAGCTAAATAACTTTGTAAATAGCTATATGGACCGTGTAAAACATTGGCTTCTTGTAGATAAAGTTTATACTTTCTCGTTTGATATTGACACTTCATCGTCTAGTCGGCCGACGGCGTGTGAATCATGACGTCATTCCTAGTTCATTTTAATTATCGACACAGAATGAATGTATGAATTCCCAGAGTACATAAAGACATTAACAATTCTACGCGTAATTAATTTCTACAATTAATTTCTTTTATTTTAGTATAATTACGTATCTAAGTTCCTATTAGAAAACATACATTCAAAACTTAGTTCTTGACTCTTTTTGTAGTTCACAAGTTGATTGAAGGAGGAAAAGAAAATAATTTTTATTTCTATACCATGTAAGTAGATTTTAGTAATTTTTTTCGTTATTGTTCGTCGTTATAGTTTTAATTAATTTTATTTTTATTTTATTTTATTTGTTACCTGTTATTCAAACTTTTTATTGTATTTTTTTATTCTTATATATTTTTTCGTCTCAGTTTTAGTCTCAGTTCGAATAAAAACAGTTTTCTTTTCTTCTTTCTTTCTTTCTTTCATTTTAAGGCTATCGGGCTCTCCCTATAAGTTATGGGCTATGTCAGTTTTTCACATTCCTTCCTAAATGGGCTTAAAGCTGGGCTTTTACAGTAAGCATTTCAAACGTTTTAAGTAGGCATAATTGCACACACGTCGAAGCTAATCTGCGTCACTTCGTGATTTTATCCAGCCCACTCAAGATTAAGAAGTCGATTTAAACAGGGAATGTGTTCTTCTTACGAAAGAAAACCATCTCGCACAAAGAAAGTTGAAATAATATAAATTCTCAGCTGAATAAGATGGATTGCTGACGTCAATCCGAGCAGGTGCACGTGTGGAGATCAGAAATACAATCCACTATCGTGGACATTAACAGATGTTGATTCTGTCAGCAAAAGGCACGTAAATTGCAATTTGCTGACGATATTGCAGATAGGATTACCTATCTACCAACTACTGACGCTAAAGACTTAAAACTTTAATGATTTGGAATCCTACTAACATTCTAAGTGCGAAAGCATTATTAATGTATGTTGTTCTTTCATTAAAAACGGCTGGACGGATTTGGTTGAAATTTGCTAAGCATGTAGAAAGGAAATACCTTTTTGTTAATGGATTGGATTAACAAACAGACTGAATTTTACTAACATACCAAGCGGGTTAAGCCACATGCGGAAGCTAGTATGACCATAAATCTGATCATGCGACAAAATTATTGGATGTCATTTATTTTTATTTTTTGTGGCACATCTCTCATTGATATCCCGAATTTCGTATTTTTTAAGAATTGTCTATACCTAGTTGTCTTCCCCAGACTGTTACAATCGCAACAAAAATGGGTTCAATTGAAAATAGTCCAGCTGTTACCACGTTCTTAGCAATTATCAATTTGGACCAAGAGAAATTGACATTCTAAGTATGTAGAAAAATGGTACGATCCCTTCTTCACGTCTTCTTAAAAGGCTTTTTTGGGAGGGGATAACCATTATATCTCACACATGGAGTGAGACTCTTATTAAAAAAAACCTATCTGTCCCTTCTCCTGCTCCAGGCCTAGGTCGAAGTACTTTAATGAGCTTGCCCCGCAAAAGGTGAATATATTGTACGACAAAAAAATATCTTGTTACATAGAAGTGAACAAGTAAAATCGTATCCACAATTAGTCACCTCAATTGTTAGACAGCACTTGGATAATTCACCAGTTGTACCTAAGCTTCGTGAGTCACGGTATGTCGTCAGTTTTGTCATTTTGGGCGAGAGAAGTATGGTAGGGAAAATTGGTATTTCGATGCCATGGCGGTTTAACACGAAGTTAGTCGGATCTCCGGCCGAAGTAGGGTCATTAGTATAGATTTATTTATTTATTAGGCTTTATGCACACAAACTTATGTACATAGGCGGACATAATGCCGTAGGCATTATCTACCAGTCTGACCTTTGGGTGATGCAGAGATGAGTAAAAACGGTGAGCGCAAGCAGCAAAACTTTCAAAGATTAAAGACAAAAAAACAAAGACTCAAAATAATAATGTATAAGTTTAAACAAATACAATAACAACATAATCTTACATAAACTAATAATACATACAAATTATGTATAAATAAATATAGAACACTGATATAAATAAATAGATACTACATACTTATATAGATATATTAGTGTTATCCACAAACTGTTGTTCCCGATTTAGGTGTGATGTGTATGTCAAATTGTATTTTTGTAAACGCACCCACGACTTAGGAGAAAAATCGAAGAACGGGGCAACATTTTTTAAATAAAAAAAAGACAACGTAGTGAATGAATACAGTTATAGACTATAAATACTCACAGACTACTCTACCAATATAAATATGTTGTATGGTGTCGTCTCGTACTAATCTCATTTGTGGACATGACGTAATACTTCTATTTAATATTCCGTTTTTGTTGCCACACCTCGGCGCACGCGCATGAATTATCCTGTCTTTATTGTTACAATGTTTACTTTTTTTTTGTATTTTCTGTTTCTTTTTTAGGTAGCATATTATTATAGTCAAGATGCTTAGTGTATCTAAGGCAGTAGAATTGACCCAACAGAGAGACCCGAAGCGTAATTTTAAAATTAAATATGACTATAGGAGTGTCATTATTATTTAGCTATGTAGAAAATATACCTACATTGGGTCAATTCTGCGATTCCAATTTTTGTGATAAGATAAAAAATAAAATGTCAACCACAGTGCGATAACAGTTCATTTTATATACCTATTTTTTTATATAGAAGTGCAGTTTTATCTTTTAGAGAATGTGTTTAATTGCGTAAAATGATATTCTATACAATATTACTCATTTTTAAAGGTCTGCATTTTCTTAAATTTGCCACACCTACTGAGCTAGGTGAACCAAATGGGGACGATTCTTCAAAATTTCCGTACTATGTTCCTAGGTGAGACATATTCATTGAATTATAGAAATTTTCAGTGAAGTAAAATGCCCAATTCGTTTTAATTCTTTAGTCACTTCTTTTAGCATAAGTTTTTATGGAGATAGAAAATGACAATAGAAGTCTGGTATCCAATATGAAGCCCTGGTTGACAAGTCAAAATGCATCGGTCGGTTCTAACTAAAGTTTTTAAGGCAATAATACTTAATATGAACTTGGAAATGTAGCATAATCTTGATTACGTCAGGGCTTCGCACTGGCACCGTCTCGGCGTCGCCGAGGCCTCGAGACTTCGCAAGGTCAAGGATATGAAGAAGGACAAATTGTTGGGATCTTTGCAATTGGTGACAGAAAGCCATTTGTAGGGATAAAAAAGAATAAACAAATGTTTTTTTTTATACTTTGAAAAACATTTTCCTCTAAAAGAACCTGGCATTAACCCTTGATTTAAGTATGTATATTAAACTCAATACTAACATGATTTTCTGAAAACAACAAATTAAATATCTTTATTAAAAACTATAAATATTTAAAAAATCTTTCTGTCAGCTTATGAATTTGACAGCGTTAAAATGTTTAGAGTTCAATTTCTTACATATAAAACAAAAACTATCACATACATAATTACATACCTATTTAATAACTTTTTGTACATTAATTTATTATTGTCCGCATGGAACACGATTTCGATATGAGGCCTAAAATATGTAAGAAACATCTGACTTTGTTTTAATATTGCATGAGCCTTGGTTGATGAAAGAAAAAAAACCAAACTCAAACCCATAACATGTATCTACATACGATAAATAATATCATCGCTCCAGGGCAACAACACAAAAAAGGACTCCTTAGGTATCATATCATCTTAATAACGCTAAAATCTCCAAGCAAAATCAATACTCAGCATCCGACATGAACCCGTTTCTTTCTTACATTAATTTATAAAAAAAGCTTCTGATAAATATTATCTCATAATGTTGTTATTCGTATTTTTTGCTAAACTTGTTTTTGTTGTAAGTCGGTAGATAATAATAAGTAAGCAATAAGAATTATAAGATCCTACCTTAACAATAAATATATCCGTTGAACGACCATATACATCTACGAGTAAGTTCTTCACAAACCACTCACATTTTCATTGATAAACTAATATTTTGTTGTTATAATTAATTACTATTAATTTCGTATACGAATCGACGACACACGTTTATATTCGGCTACGCATGCCGCGGTAACTAACTCCAATAGAATTCAATTCTATGAGATAAGCCGTTTTAGATTTGGAGCTCACGAATGTGGTAACTGCGCGGTCAGAAAAGAGACAACACGAAAACATAAAAACATAGCGTATGTCTGAAAGAGATGACCGTATGTTTTTCAGTTTATACTAGATAACCTCTAAACTTTTGACAGTTTTGTTTACGTGACGTAACCGCATGATGTCATGGCAACGCCGCCATTTGCTATATTTGCGGTTTTGGCGGGATTTTCATTATAAATACAATGTAATTGAATAATAGCAGATTCTACTTTATTACATCAGGTAGGCTTAATTCACAAAGGTTTTCTAAGTGTCTTAAAATTATTGCAATCGCTTCATCTCCGATATAAGTAAACCGCAGTTTTAAACAGTAATAGGTAAGTACTTACCTACAAGCAACAAGCCTCTTTCAGGATGCAGTCTATGCTCCTACAGAAATATGGAGTTACAGAGAACAATATAATTAATTGACAAAGAGCCACAACTTGTGTATTAGATATTTAACCACTTTTAGGGTCAAGCTTACGGGAAGGAATATTATGTGTTCTGGTTAAAAAATTTTGAAGTCAACTTTTGCAAGCATCTTGGAAAATTACTTACCTACTTGGAAAATTATGTACTTTTGAAGTGTTTTATGATTTTACCACCGTCATGAAAGTTACTTATGTAAGTAGCTATGTGGGAAGTGGTCACTTATAGTATTTTATTAAGTCCTATTTTTAAAATCTGGTTTGCGGCTATACAGACATTACGACTCTCGCCTCTCGCCTGCCTAGGGTCGGAGAAGTCATTTCATAATTTAACCCCGTAAAAATGATGTTTACCGATTAATGATGATCTTTTATGTTCTTAGTTATGTAAAGAAGGGTACAATAAATAAATAAAAAAATACATGTCTTCATATTAGGTAAGTTTTCTTTCCCGATTCGGTCAGGTACTCTTGAACGGAATAAGGATATTTGTCCGTAGCGGTCGAAATGCGCCAAAACAAGGATTGAAATACGGTACCTAGATATATCTGGTGTTAGGGTAGTAATAATATCTTTATTTAGTTCATGGCATATGCCTAGCTAGACGAGTTAGTTTAGTCTACACGACAAATAATTGCACAATAAAAAAATTGTATTTTTGTGTGAATGTTTGAAGGTAACAATAAGAAAAACAACAGAAATTCTGATTTAAAAAAATCTGGAGAATGGAAGATTCATTCACCATTTAAAAATGCGAAATCGTTACAGGTCGCTTGTTATTCATACATAATTTTTAAAAGAAAAGACAGCACATTTCTCGGACTTTCGATTTATTATAAAAAACCATTAACACAGACTTGGACCCAAAGAAAGCGTGGGGCTACCTAAGATCTGGGTACATAAGGTGCGATCCGTGAGCCGTTCCATCTTCAAGTAATTCCTTTCTATATTTAATTAGTCTCATTGCCAGCAGGGCTAGCTCTCACAACCCGTAGTGCAGTAAACGACAACGATTATAAAAAATATGGACATAATATCATTAAAAATCTAACTAGGTATAGCAGGGGTTACGGTGCACTATATTTTTTTATTCGTAGATTTTGATTTTATACAGAATGAGACAAAATTTTTTGCTTCTAAAAAGTAAATAAGAACTGTCGAAATTATAAATAGATTGAGGAAATATTTTTCTTTTTTTGTAGATATACAATGCAATTCTAGACATTCTTATCGAAAATTCACCTAAAGCTTTAAATTACGTGTAAATAATACAACACATACAATCGATCACAACAATCTTCAAACCATGTTTATACCCTCCATAACTCGCCATCTTAAAACTAACATCCTTACTTTCACAAATATCACCTTATCGAATACATTTCCACTTATTGGAAATGGCGGAGTTTAATTTCGTTATAAGCAGTCTTATTCGAATGTAAATAGCCGTTCGTCAGCAAAATACGTATGGCCTGACACAAATGGGACATCTGTCCGAATTTGCCAGGCATTTCCTTAAACAATCTGCGTGGAAGAAATGGGCACAGGGCGTCACTCGTGCTGATTTCATAGTACCCAGGCACACAGCACAAACGTCCTCAAGTGTCGCGAGTTCTTCTGCAGTAGCTCGCCTAAACCTCGCCAGGGAGCCTCTAGCTTCTTGCAGCTTCATAAGAGCTTCTCCAAGCCTATGCCTTCCATGGACGAAGACACATACGTAGAAAAGCAGAGCGGATAACCTCCACCGCTCGTACCATATTAAAGCTGGCACTAAGGGCAAGGCCAGCATTGTAGTGATAGCTCTAGCCCAGGCACCGAAGTATAGCAGCTCCATGCCTTCTAACCTCTCCAATTTCAAAGCAGAGAGTCCAATTGGCCAAAGTTCCAAAAACGTTCTCTCTGTCAAAAGGTAGTATGTGCCAGTTATGACTGTGTACAATGCTGTGGGTTTGTAATGTTCAAGTCCTTGTTCCAACCCAAGAGCGAGGAGTACGAAAGTAATGGTGACAATAAAAGTGACTGCTTTCGTCCATTCCAGGACTATCTTTGTGGCTGACATCGCGAGGTGCTTGACGCGAGAATGGCGCGTGACGTTGACGTACGGTGACCAGTCTTCCTTGGTGCAGATCTCGCGAACATAGCTGACAGAGTAAGTGACGACATTGTAAAACATTAAGGAGTAGAGACAGGTCAGTCTTCCTTGGGAAACTAGTAGGCGGTCGCAGGCTGTAAACATCAGCAACTGGAAAGAGACAAATAATTTAAATGTTTAATATGCCTGATAAAATAATGAATAAGTTTTCTTCTTAAAAACTTAAAGAGATTTTTACCTGTCCAATCATAGTTGAAAGATTGTTCATTTGCAGAAAGAGTTTTTCAGCGCGCTCCACCGGCGCATACGCAGCCTTCATGACTCCCATCACCCGCGATACAGGTGACCGTAACTTCTTCGCCAATTCTGAAACAGAAGAAAATATTTAAGATACTTTTTTTGTAATATCAACCTACAACACTACGTGACCATATTTTAACTTTTCGGTATAGAAGTGCAAAAATAGCGTCTTATTTTTTATGTGACTTGGGTAGCATCTAAATATACGCTCTCAAACCCATCTTCCTAGTATAGGGTATCCAAAAAATCTAGCGATTACCGAATTAAATAACTGAAAACTATATTTTTCAGGGCGTCAAAAAATTATGCCATTTTAGCCAGAGTTTAAGTTTTTAGCCAGATTTGAAGTATCACCGAAGTACTTATTTTAATAAAATCAGTGTAGCAACTAAAAGATGAGCGTGGGCGACTGTCAGCCTGTCACTTCATGTTGACCACACCAACTTTACACTTGACTGTTTCAAGAAATTTCCCCTCATTTGCATATTTTTTCTTCAAGGATACCCATTTTAGTCTTATTTCTGTAAAAAGAGGTTAAAAAACGTGGACGGTATTTGTAAAAAGTAACCAGGACGGGAAATTTAATTTTGAGTGAAATTTATTTTACTCTGTTTTTTTTTTGATACTACTTTTAGTATTCGTATTATCTTCTCTTTTTAGTTTCTTTAGTCATTTGTGTTGCTAAAATATTTTTAACTATACATTATTTATGTGGTTAATTCAATTCATACATGTAGAATTCGCATTCTGAGAAAAATACGAGCCATCAATTGGTTGCTTACATAATTTTTTTTTCTGAATCGATGTACCAAAGAAACATAATTAAAAAAAAAATTCTTATTTTTCACTGCTTCTTTCAGATTACCACCTTCCCCGTGAATACGGCTACAGTGGCTGACCACAGAGATGTTCGGTATAAAAGCACCCCCATAGCACAAGGGTAGTCAGTTCAGAACTAGGCTTCAACAGCTACATTCACCTTCCAACACTACATCCGAAAAAATCTGGTAAGTATCTATAATTTAATTTATAAAATATTAATATTCCGAAATTAAATATTTCCCCTTTATAGCTCCTTTATAGGACCTGTGTAACATATTATGTGTTTTATAAACCCACATATAGACGAATTTATAAAATGCTAAGCAATTATTTTACGCAATAAAAATTACTACGAATATAATATAAACTCATTTGAGAGAATCTAGACTGTTGAGAATGTATGTTACATACCTTGTATAGAAAAAAAATAAAACATCCTTAATTTTTTCAGTTAAAAAACGTACCCTATTTATCTTCAAGCTAAACAGGCCGACTGTTCGATTTAAAATTAATGACTGCCCATATTTCTACATATTTTTTTCTTAACTGGCAACAAAATCTGATATTATCTCACCGTTCGATAAACACTGTATACGCGAAATTCGTGACCAAGATCACGTATTAATTGAAAGAAATGTGCTCTAGTTACGAAAATAGTAACATTGGATGACAGTCTCTAGACAGATAATTCTGAATACTTAAAATTCCTTGCAACTCAAGATGTCGTACTCCACGCATTGTTGTTTTTTTTATCGCAATTCCTTGTAGAGGAAGGAAGTTGAAGAAGTAGAAGTTGTATCACTATAATCTGTTAGGACCTGTTTTTTGTCTTTTTTTCACATGTGATAGGAGGATACGGCCACAAAGATTACAGTGAAAGTGAGCAACCAGCGTTGGCCATAGACAATGCCGGAGGACTTACGAGTGCGTTGCGGGCATTTTTGGCTTTCGGGTTTCGGAGATCTAGGGATTGGGGTAGGTGAAGAAGGATAGGGTCTCTAGTAACCTAACTTACACGACGAAACACAATGTTGTGGTTGCTAGACGCAAATTTTCTGCGAGGCCGTGGCGGTTGGTGAAGTTTAGTAAGGATTTATTTTAATCATGTTCTAAAATTTTGTGGTGGCCCGGAGGTTATGGAGCCCACTTCTCATGCATGAGGGTGTGGTTTCGAAACCTGGCAAGTACCAATGTGACTTTTCCGAGTTATATGTACTTTCTATGATTATTTAGACACCGCACTGACATACGGTGAAGGTAAACATCGTGAGGAAACCTGGACTTGTAATTTCTAATTATTAGTTTTTATTAGTTTGAAATCGCCAACATGCATTGAGCAAGCGTGGTGATTAATGCTCTAACCTTCTCAGTATGAGAAGAGGCCTTTGCTCAGCAGTGGGCACTTATAGGCTGATGATGATGTTCTAAAGTTGATACCTTGCTAGATTGATTTTTCTTCCCCAAAATCCTTTATCCACATGCCATTTTCATCTAAATCCTTGGAGCCGTTTCTGAGGTCCAGTGAACATACATGCCTACCTACATACAAAAATTCCTCGTTTAAACGTCAGTCCCAAAGTGTCTTAACACCTTTATAAAAACCGTATAACATTGGACGTTTACCTACATCTAAATTAAAATGAAAATAATGCGTATTTATTTACAGTCGCAAATGCGCACCACATGTTGAGTCGTGTATCAAAACAAAATTGTATTTTGAATTCGTAAATAATAAACACAACGAACGATTTCAACTGTTGACCATTCACATCTTATTTTTGTCGAAAATATTTAATTTATCTGCTTTTAAATGTTAACTTTTAAACAAAAGATATAAGGTTGAATAAATGATTCAGTAAAAAGCTATTATCAATTCAATGCAACCCAAATGCTTATAAAAGAAACTCGATACAAAAATGAACGAAACTGACTTTTGATCTAAGTCAAAAACGAAATACGTAAACAGCTATGATTAAAACAATACGAATTATTAAATGCTCTTTGTATACATGTAGTACATAATCTAGACTATTTAATAGAAAACGGAACAGACTCATAAAAGAGGCCGTTTCAAATTTTAACCTTAATACTGTGGTGCACGTAACATTTAGGATTCAAATACGCTCTTTTTCAAATTAAGCCTCTTTTCTATTGTGCACACGAAACAAAGTTCTACTTTGCCCACTTTCCTTAAATTAATAATTTTAAAATGACTGAATGTAATATGTTATGAAATGTAACAAAGTGCGCCCTATTTGTAGGAAGCACACACCCACAATACGTAGATAGATATAGAAACATCTATCAAAATAAACTTAGGACGTAAAACTTTCAACCCGTGCCCAGACTTTCTTCAGATCGTGTCAATAATCACTGTGGTTCATACATATACACAAACATGTGTTCTTGTTTAGACGCAAAAATACAAGTAAACTTGGGATGACGCACGCGCACTGGCAGTCAGCCAGTTTCCGTCGCCCCATTCAGCTTCTTCTCGACAATGACCTGACTTTTCTATATAAATATAAGCTCAAGACTACAACAATAATACTAACAAGCCGTGGTTCGTTATTTAGGTATCATTTGAATTCTGATACATACATAGTTACAAGAACCTTTAAGATAAAATTTTTAAATCGACACACGCTCGCGTTATTTTTAAAAGATTTCAGACTTACGTTATAAATTTTGACTTATGAATGATAAGTATCATATATTATTATGTATAATAATATAAAAATCCGAAAGTTTGTTTGTTTGCTTTCTTAAGCATCGCAATGGAGTACGAGTAATTTCACAGGAGGAGGTTTGTTTACTTTTGAGAAGTCAAATTAAAAATAAATATTGCGATATACATAGAGAAAATGTTTGTTATTTTTATTAACGATAAGTTTTCCATCTGGTATTACTTAAACGCGTTTTCTTTTATGTTGTGGTTTGTAATGAAATCTAGTTATTAGATTGCATTTTTTTATGTGATAGGTCGGCAAACGAGCTGACGGATTACCTGATGGTAAGCAATCAGCGTCGCCCATGGACACCCGCAATGACGGATGAGTTACGAGTGCGTTGTCGGCCTTTAGGGATTAGGGATTTGGAGATTTTGGGAAAGGGAACGGATTGGGGTAGGGGAAAGATTCGGCCTCCGGTAACCTCACTCACACGGCGAACACAACTCTTTGGTTATTTCACGCCGGCTTTCTGTGAGGCCGTGGTATCACTCCGGTCGAGCCGACCCATTCGTGCCGAAGCATGGCTCTCCCACACTTAAAATTGTGCATCATTGTTTCGACGCTAAAAACTCATTAGAACAATTTTATTTCAACTGTTTTTCTTATAATGTATTTCAACTGTTTTTCTCATCTTCATATGAGATCGTTTTACAAAATTAATAATAAATTTTCTTTTTAAGACTTTAGAGGTTAGATAATTGTTTCTAGTGGATTTCTTTTGCGGAAAATTAAAGTCGAATATTCTAGAATATACTTAAATAATAATGTGTTATGGTTGTCCGGAGGTTAAGACACGACACCTGGCAAATAACAATGTAACTTTTTCCAAGTTATATATACTTTCTATGTTTATTTAAAATCGCCCAAGCGTGGTTATAAGTAATGCTCAAACCCATTACTATTCTACACGGAGAACCGTGTGGGAAGAGGCCTTTGCTCAGCAGTGGGCACTTTTAGGTAGGCTGATGATGTGTGTTCGAGAAAATTCTTGCAACAATATTAATTTGAATGGATTTCATCATTACGCAATGTTATGCATCTGAGACGTCATTAATAGAGGAATCTGGGGCCATATTTTCTGTCATGAAACGAAGCGTGGGATGCATAGGTCGGGAGATTGGCACACACCGGTGTTTGTGCCAATCGTATGTTTACTTTCCTTCATTCTTCTTAATACAAGTATTGTCTGCGTCGAAGAAATCAGTTAACGATTCGGTTTCGGTGGGCGTTTGTTATTTGTAAACGTAATTTTAGTTCTTTTCTATTTTTCTCGTTTAGTTTTCCGGTAGTGTAGAAGGATTCGATTTCCGTATGCCAGTACCTATATCCGTTCTTAGCGTATAATATTCATGTTTTTATACCGATATTGTTTTGTGTGTGTTTTTTTTTTATAATTTACTCGGCAGAATAAAACCACTAACTTTGGTTTTTATTATAACTTTCGTGAGCCATTCTAAATTATTTATTATGTTTTCGGCTTTGACGAGATATTCGACTAGTTTCAAGCGACACGCGACTCGGCGACTGTCGCGCTGCTACTGCGCGAAACTAGTCGAGTATCTCGTCAAATTATTACGTGAGTAAGCCGAAAACATAATAAATAACTAACTTTGGTATTTAGACTTAGGTAATATTGATATCGATCGATTTTTTTTTCTCGTTTTCTATCTTTCTGAGATCTATCGTTCTTCGCAACAAAGCTTATATCTTTGTACCTGTCTATTTTAGACCCGACAGCTTTCCATTATCTTATTATCCTAAATGATCCATACCTTGAGCGAGTTTGACCACGGCAGGGTACCACGTCGCTGGGTATTTGTAGTTGGCTGAGATGAGGACAGGAACCACCAAACATGTGTATGCGGCCATCAGCCAAGCACCGCCAAGCGCCACGAGCAACCCTCGGGGCGCCCAATATGGTAATAACAGGACCAAAGACAGCAGCCATACTGAAATATAAAAGAAGTTGAGTTTAAATTGTGAACTTAGCTTAGTACATTATTTAAATATGGAAGCTATTAAAATGAAAATAAGTCTTTTCTTTTTTTAAATAACAAGGGAATACGGTAAATTCAGAAGATACAAAGTTATGTCAAGGTTATTTCTTTCTAACTGCCAGCTCGTAAAAAGGCGGTAAATAAAAAAAAGAACAACATGCCAGAGTCAGTGCACCGTAAACAATTATTAATAACTTTTTAAAAATACGAATGCTTGCTTGGACGCCACCGGAAAATAAGGCTATTCCAGATATTTACTTTTCGAAGTAGGTACCCAAGGTATATTTTATCTTTATGTTTTTACGTCAACATACTTCATGTTGAAAGCTTCCTTTATAACAAATAAGTAAAATATAAATATATTTGTTGAAACACAAATTGTTCGCAGAATATTTCAAAGAGTTCGAATCAGCGAGGGCTGTAAATAATATCATGAATGGCCAAGGACAAACACACGCAACAGTTTGTGTAAACTAGAAAATTGTTCACAATGATTGAAGGTAAAAATACGAATAACAAACTTCACAGGGAAACGTCATTAGGTAGGTACCTATATTTATCGACGTTTTTACCGAAGATTTTATTCCAAATAATTTCAAAGGTTTTATTTACACCTTATAAAAATCTAACAATTACTTGCAGACAAAATAATGTAATTAGTGCTTCTATGTCTAGATCTAAGTGCTATGTTGCTGGAAACTTGATTACAGAATAACTGATTCTGGTTGGTTCTTCGATTTTGATGTAAGCTAGTTCTCAGTGCCTAGCATACAAGGCATATAAATGAAGAAACAATTGAACATCTCTTAGCCATTAGATAAACACAGATAGGGTCCAATAAGCATGATCTGCAGCCGGGATTGTGGTGGGCAAGCGCACTAACGTATCGCGGACCCGGCCCGGAGCGGAGCAGAAGTTTTTAGTCAGTGGGATTAGGACACTCCATCTCGCTGCTAGACGACATATTTACTCCTCCTCCTCCTCTTTTTTCTCCTCCGCGAATAATATATTTTATAATTTATTCCGTTGCGGGATCCAAGACAGTCATTCATGTCCACAGGACGCGTCAAGACGCGTGTTCCGGTGTTTTCATGGTTGTATCTACTGTAGTTACTGGCTTACAGGAGTTGCAGCGGATTTGGGAGATCTCGGCTTATCCCATTAAAACAAAAAAGACGTCATATTTACCCCGATCAATAACAAATCATCCCTTTTTAAAACATTCAATCATCCTTCAGAGCATTCACACAAACAGCTCAGAAATAAAGAGAAACAATTGACCGGCTTAACGTCAATGAGAAAACAAATCCAATTAGTTTCTTAAAACCATATGATCAAAGTTGTCTTGTCTATTGACACAAATAAACAACGGATTACGTGATAATAGGCACGATGTTTACCTACATTCATAGATCAATGACTATTCCATAACATAAATATCATACTTATTATTAACACTTGTTTTATTCCTTTTTGGAAGTGGTTAAATTCATGACTTATCCATAGAAACTCGTGCCTTCAACTCAACTCTATGAGCCACTTTCGTACAGTTTTTAGTAAACATTATTTAAAACATTATTTTTTTGACTTAGAATCTGTACCTACATAATTTATAAACAGAACGAGACAGGCAAGTATTTTTATGTAATAGATCGGCAAACGAGCAGACGGATTACCTGATGGTAAGCAATCAGCGCCGCCCATGGACACCCGCAACGGAGGAGTTACGAGTGCGTTACCGACCTCTTAGGGATTAGGGTTTTGGAGATTAAGGGATTGGAGGAGGGGAAGGATTGGGCCTCCGGTAACCTCACTCACACGGCGAAACACAACGCTGTAGTTGTTTCACGCCGGTTTTCTATGAGGCCGTGGTATCACTCCGGTCGAGCCGACCCATTCGTGCCGAAGCATGGCTCTCCCACGCCTCACAAGTATTTCTAAATAAGTCATTCATTCGCATTCGTTATCCGGTCGCCTCGACCCAATTCTTATAAACATACAATTCAAATGAGAGAAAATATTCATATACTTACATTTATTTGTTTATGTATCATTCATTATATGTGCCGAAACCAAACATGTGTTTACGTTAACACAAAAATATTACTTTTGCACCCTTATCCTACACAGTACAATAAGTCTTACCTCCATTTTCAATTGCTCAGTCTTATTTGCCATTTTACAATCTTATTTTACCAAAAAAGGAAAATAGAAATCAATAGACGATTTAAAATGACCATAAATTCTATACTATACAAACTTCTTATTGGCGGCGCTACGAGTACGACCTACGAAATCCTGCTACGTCGTAGCACGTGGCGTAGCGAAAGAGCATTCAGGATAATTATTCACCTAATTTTCTCTCCTAACGACTTTTTCTAACCTTTGAACAATATCTTACAAACTCACAGTATTCCTTGCAAAATAATGGTTTAATATTGAAAATAAATATATTTCTGCCCTATGTGTTGATGAAATAGCTACACAATATAGATAAGTACCTAACAAGTTGTAATAATATTTCAACAAGTCATCATAAAATACTTGGATGCTACAATGACAGTACTAGATATGCCAGACCAGCCCTTGCGCATTTGTGCGACATGTCCTATTTAGGTACACGTGCAAGTGACAATAGAAAACATGAGTCAACAGTGAAAGAACAATAAAATTGTAAACAAAAACAATATGAATCGTATAGATAGCCACCTACTTATATGAAAACATTTTTCTGATTCGAAACAATGGAACTTTTTATATATTCAGTCAAAAATTTTAATCACTGCAATCGAACTGGCCACTTCTAGTGCTTTTATTCTGTTTTTGAATATTTAATTTTTATTCGAACGTCTAACGGTAATTTTTATTGTTTTTCCATACACATTAATCCTGGTTCTGGTAATAATATGCACCTGAAAACTTACCAAGTACCAACTTACACAAAGATATAGGATATGTTTAAGTAATTATTTAAAAAGTCAGTTTCTAATTACAAACAAATATAGTAGCATACATGCTTAATTTATTGCAAAAGTCGTCTTAGATTTACAGAAGACACTATCCCTACATTCAAATCCGTAAAAAAATATTACATTAATAAAAAAAAATGTGATTCCGACTTACCGATATTGGCAAGTTTGTCCTCAGATTTGAGCGTGTGAATCTTCGAGAAGGAATCACTCCTAATGCGCCCGCGCACTCGAGAAATCATGCCCATTTTATAAACTTGAAGAATAAAACAAACGAGTTAATTAATTAAATAAACACTGTTCAGTTCACCAAGTCAATGTATAATGAATTTTATTTTTTCACTTTTATTTTAACGAGAATATTATTCAGTATTTGTTGCCTCCGTATTCTGCGAAGTGTGTCACATGAATGCGCATTTAGCTTGCGGACGCCGGACGTTTGGGCGGGCGGCGCTCGCGCAGACAGATCTCTACCCCGATAAAAACCGACTCCAACGAAAATACAATAACACTTACATACATTGCTCTCCATACACACACTCAGATGAAACACCGCAGCACATTGCCAGCATTAAATCGAACATATTCGATTTGAAACACATGTTCAAATGCACCCACGTCATACTGCAATGACGTTTATTTTTATATTTAATTCTATGTCACTGACTCGTGAATCGGAAATTGTTATGTTTTGATTTCTATATCTGCAATTTTTAATGAAGGCAAATAAACAAAGAAATCTTTGTATGGAGTACATTAAAGTCTTTCAAATGCAGCCTATGAAGTTTGAAAAAAGTGTAAACAATATTATCATAGACTAGAAGTCTGAAAAACAATTGAAAAAGAATACAAACTTTCCTTGTTATTGATAACGCTGAGTTTTTTGAATAGAAGAAATCATCCAATAGCCTTTCCTACCCCTGATGGGGGGCAAGAATAAGTGTCCGAACCGTACTGACTAAAACCCACCCCGATCCTTTACGCCGCAGTTAATTATCGCGCTTGCACCCGCAACCCCGGCTTTATTACTAACTAGCTACTCTCGCGCGGTTTTACCCGGTGCTCGGTTCCTACAGATCGTAGCGTGACGTTTTATACCCTAAAGCCTTCCTTAATAAATGGTCTAATAAAGAGAAAAATACTTTTTCAATTCGAACCAGTATTTCCTGAGAAAAACGCGGTCAAACAAACTCTTAAGCTATATAATATTAGTATAGATAATGGTAAATACGACGGTTAATAAGTTTTTAAGTATCATAAACATGCCTAAAACATAATTAACATACGAAACTGTATATTGTGTGCCTACTTAAATTGTAACGCTTAAAAAAAGCAAGCCTTAAAGCCGAATGTTTAAAACATTCAATCATCCTTCAGAGCATTCACACAAACAGCTCCGAAATAAAGAAAACCAATCGAACGACGTAACGTCAATGAGAAAACCAATCCAATTAGTGTTTTTTAAAACCACATGATCAAAGTTGTAGGTACTTGTCTATTAACAAAAATAAACAAAGGATTACATGAAAACCGGCACGATGTTTACCTACATTCATAGATCCATGACTATTCCATTATTTTAAACCCGAATGAATATGTGGGTGGAGTGTTTGTAGAGTTGCATTTTTGTAGTAATTTTAGACAGGCACTCATCGTTTTCTTCGAATATTTCAGTTATGTTTAATAATATCAATAAGCACCTAATGATTCAGGTATTTGTAACCCATGTATAAAGAATTTTTGTACGTGACGCCATTCTGAATATTATATCCGACTAACTTCTGCCATCGCTTTCTCCCGCTATACTCGAGTATATTATCATCTATCTTTAAGACAAATTTCATTGCGATCCGTTCAGTGGTTTTAAAGTTAAGTAAAAGTAACAAACATTATTAATTCTTTATTAAAAAATCAACTTAATATTATTAGAATTGCTTGCTAACAACTGATGTGTGTCATAGCCGTTTTGTGATGTTTTATTTTAAAAAAATACTTATTTATTGAACACTTTGTTTATGATTTTATTCGCCATTTTTAACCGACTTCAAAAAAAGTTCTCAATTCGTCGGTTTCTTTTTATCTGATTAGATATAGCACTCTGATTGCCGAAGCGTGAAACGACCGTATTTGATAAATGTTCTAATGTGTTATACAATTAAATGTTAAAACTTAGTGGTCATTATTATCAGCCGGTGTTGTAGGCCAAGAAGAAGCAGCAAGAAGAAGGAACAGGGTGGCTTTTGGTCAGTACCTTAGAGTCTGACACTCCCTCTAGCCCCAATCAGGACGGGAGAAATCATTCTATGATTTTAGCCCCTTTAAAAAAAGAATTCATAATTACATTACATTCAATGATATTCTAATAAATTACTTACATATCATCATAATAATATCATACAATTATCATTGATAGCTATTCTCGCGCGGTTTCACCCGCTGCTCAGCTCCATTTGATCGTAGCGTGATGTTTTATAGCCTATAGCACTCTGTAACATTGTAGCTATCTATCGGTGAAAGATTTTGGCAATCCAACCAGCGGTTCCAAAGTTTACCCCCTACATACAAACTTATAAACATACAAATTTTACCTCTTTATTATAGATTATTTTATTTATTTCACAACTTTTTTGGTCCCGTAAATTTGTATTATATGTATAGATTCTAATCTTATAAAGGGTTTGTAAGTTTGTATGTGGTAATCTTTCGAACCGAGATCGAAAAATTCTTACACCAATGATTATATTATGAGCCGAAATAAGTGTTTTTTGTGAGTCTCTTATGTAACTGGCTAGGCCTTTTATCATATGGAATGGAAATAAATCCAGAAACCATGTCACTACAACATTTTTCGAAAAACTGATAATGTGATACCCAATGTCGGGTCTGGGTGTGATGTGCATGTGAAATTGTATGTTTGTAAACGCACGCACGACACAGGAGAAAATCTTAGTGTGGAGCAACGTTTTTAAAAAAAAAATATCTTCCTTGCTTGCGATGGCATTAAAGCCGCCTGTGTAATATTGTTGGCTAGAGATTACATAAATAAATAAATAAATACTATACCCACCCACGTGGTGATGGTTAAGGCGCCCGCTTCTCATGCATGAGGGTGCTAATGCGAAACCTGGCAAGCAACAAATGTGACTTTTTCCGCGTCATACTCGTATATGTACTTTCTAAGTTCATTTAGACACCACAGACGGACCTACGGCAAAGGAAAACATCGTGAGGAAACCTAGACTTATAATTTCTAATTATAAGTTAGAAATTGCCAATCCGCTTTGAGCAAGCGTGGTGATTAATGCTCAAACCTTCTCAGTGTGAGAAGAGGGTTTTGTTCAGCAATGGGCACATATAAGGTGATGATATTTAGCTGTTTAAGCTAATTGATTGTTGGTTCATTTTATATTAAGTAATTATTTTGTTAGTTACTTAGATCACGTAGATAATATTAACTGACCGATCTTTTTGTTATCGGCTAATGATAAACATTAATGATTATTTAATTATTCAATGATGTTATTGTTGAAAGCCATTGCTTACTCTGACAACTCAAACATATTGTGAACTTTTTGTTTCAAAATTGTCTACTTTCGTCAATAAGGTAGAAGGTAATTTGGAGAAATGTAAAGGATTCCATTTTTAATTGTTATCTAAAGCATCACTTCTTCGATGGTACACCAAATGGGGGCAAACCAACTATAACCTAACTTCTATGGTGTTTTTTTTTTTGACGAGCCGAGCCGAGGCCGCGGTACCTTATTGTGCTTGACCAGTGCCCCCGGCTGAAACACCTCTGGTGCTGAATAATTGTAGATCGTCATCTTCATCATCAGCCTACAAGTGCCCACTGCTGAGCAAAGGCCTCTTCTCACACGGAAAAGGTTAGAGCATTAATCACCACGCTTGCTCAATGCGGGTTGGCGATTTCAAACTTATAATTAGAGATTCACTTCATATTTTTTGTGTATTAAGCGTAAGATTAATGTAAAACACCGTAGAATTGGCGAATAGGTATTAACTATCCTACATAACCTACATTCATAAATGTTGAATACTGACAGTTTTTCTTTACCACACTACAGCTCTACCTATACTTTAATTGGCAAACCAGCTTACTCTTTACGAGCATTTTTTCAGAGACAAGCAAACTTAAAATACAGTAGAATTGAAAGATATGAATCTAAACTCTTATTTTTAATACTGTGAGATCTTTTATAAATATTCTTTACAAAACTAAAGCGTTTTTAGCAGTTACCTATCTGATTTAGATGAAATGTGGCGTTCGCTGGTATTAACGCGGAAAATAATTATTTAAATACCTTGGTAGGCTTGAAGTTTCGACCTGGTTGCACAGGTCATGGTCGCAAGCAGACTGAAGATGCTATGTCACAGCTCCCTGGGTTCGGGCGATAAATTTTCATTGCTGGTTTGCTATGTAAGGTACCGATATGTATTACTAACCAGTTCGTCACGTTTTTGTTTATTTTGTTCCAGAACTCTACAACATGCAGTCGTTGGTGTATCTGATATTCGTTGCCTTCAGCACCTGTCAGGCGCACTACAGAGGTTCCTATGACTCCCGCAACTTCATTACCAGAGACGAACCAACGATTAAAGGGTAACGAACTCATATCCAAATATCTTTATGTCATATTTTACCTACTATATAAAAACCATTGCAGGGAGGTGATAAAGCTGAAGAGTTTGTTTGTTTTGACGCGCTAACCTCCAGAAGTACTGGGTCAAATAGAATAAATCTTTTTGTGTTTGTTAGTAGGTAAATTTATCGAGGAAGGATTTTAGGCTATAAAATATCGCGCTATAATTTGTAGGAGCCGAGCAATATGAAACCGCGCGACAGAAGCAAGTTTCAACAATACGCTTGTAACTCTATAAAAAAAACTAACAGTTTTAAGATATCTTTTTACTATGGATGTATCTACCACTTGTCCGAAATTAAGATTATTTTATTTTATAAATTATCCAAACAATTATGATACTTAACTAGGTAATTAATTTGTCTCTGTTTGACAGTTAAAAATACCCACCGCGTGGTATTTTCGTGTAATGTAAGTATGTAGTTATTAATAACACAATGACCAATTATTCAAAAACATATCAAAATAAGTATTATGAATTCTAGAGTTTATTTCAAGTTCACAATGATAACGGTTTATGTAAATTTTTTGCCTGGAATGCTCTTGTGGAAACTTCATAATCGAGTTATTAAGACACAATTCTGAAGTAACAGTCCTCTTCCGATGAACTATGCCGCACTTGACTGTTATAAATATAATATTTTTCGTTCTTCAAGTGTTTAACATTAGTTTCGATGTGTCGATTAATAATATTCCGTCAGTAGATAACATAATGATTTTGAAAATTCCATAATTAAATGTAAAAGTGTTGCCACACTTCAAACGTGGTATTTTTTTAAATAACCTTTTTTTCCTTTAGATTTTTTTGTCAACCTATTTTAATTAAACCATCTATTTGTTATGGCAGTGTGCTGATCGAATGCCCGGTATGCGACCAGACTGACCATTGGATGGCCAACACTGAGGAATGTCCCATCAGAAACGGCAGCAAGACCTTCAAAATTTGCAAGTTTGGAACATACACCAACGAAGTTTGCGGAAAGCGACCTGACTGCTTCAGCGTATGAAGTTTTTAATTTATCCAATTATTCTTTATTTTTATATCGAATCATTTATTTCAAATATACCATAACAGGCAATTTTGAACTTCAAACAAAACATAAATAAATATCAAAAGTCAACTATATGTGTGTCGGTCTGTCCTCTAGTGAAAATATTTGCTGGTTCCAAAATGTAGATTCCTACGAAGAGGAACGATTAAGAAACTCCATGATTGCTCTTTTTAAATCGACCGCTGAAACAGCGTCGTGGTGGCCTGGAAGTTAATGAACCCGCTTCTCATGCATGAGGGTTCGAAACCTGACAAGTACCAATGTGACTTTTTCCGAATTATATGTACCTACCTTCTAATTTCTTAATCAGAAAGTTTGTAATCGCCAACCCACATTGTGCAAGCGTGGTGATTAATGCTCGAACCTTCTCCGTATGAGAAGATGCCTTTGCTCAGCAGTGGACACTTGTAGGCTGATGATGCTGAATCGACCGCTAGGTAGTATCATATAATATTAGCAAAAGTAAAATTAATCCATCAATGGATTATAAACTCAACAGCGCCTATGTAACATGAAGACCAAATCTCCATTTTATATTATCTAGTTCTTTTTTTTATTTATTTATTTCTTGAAAGAATATACTGTTACGGTAACAAACAAAAATATATAGTTTGTTGGCGTATGAGGCGCTCTAATTAATACATTAAATAACAACTTATTGTCTACATATCTATAGATGTAGGTAACATAAGTAACTGTGGCGACATCTATCGCACAACATTAACAACAGCAATAATCACATGCAAGATTCTACATCGCGGTTACCTCTAAAATAACAATTACTGTGTGTACTTATAATTTCGTTCTTTACCAGGGCCCTGGGGAACAATGCACTGAGAAACGTGAATTTGACATGTATGGCAAGAAGTGCGCTCCCGGCTATTATTGCAACAAAATGGAAGGAGTCTGCACTGGACTCGAGTTCCAACTGGACAACAACTGGCAGTGGAAGATGTTCCCGTTCACCGGAGTCCGCAGCGAACTAAGAAACCAACCCGAAGACTCCAAATTCTCCTTCGAAGGGATCCGCAACTAAAACTCGACATCCTAGTCTACCAAGGGACCATCCTAACTTGACCTCCCTGATCTCAACCCTAGTCATATTTTATCTAAACAATTATAATTTGTAATCAACATTCCTAATAGTGATCTCAATTTTATTGTTCTTACTTTTTTGTACGAAAGAATCTGAATATAATTACATAATATGTAAAAGCATGACTGAAGTTTTATTACATTTTGTGATTTTGACAAAAGAGTTCCAAGTATTAGGGATTCGAGAATTGGGAATGTGGGACTGGCCTTTGGCCGCTACGTTATGATATGCGACCTACGACGATGGAGCACGCCTACCCATAAGCAACCTATTCACTCGGGCCTTGAACACACCCAGGTTATACATTAACTCCAGCATAAAAATCCACTCCTAAGCTGTTCCTATGATAAAACTGGAGACGAACCGCTCCGGATTGGGTATCTGATAACTTCACTCACACAGAAAAAAATATTACAAGGGTTGTTTCTCGTCGCTTTTTTGTAACATCGTGGTATTCCCGGTGAGCTGGCCCAATGGAGTCGAAGCATGGCCCTCTCACTCTTGCAAGAACGTCGTTTATGTGCCTATGATATGTATTCTTACAAATCCACTTTACCATATTATTTTCGTTTTACGATAAGTTGTCTAAATGCTTCAACGTGTAGCTTTATCTACTGTATTTAAATAAAAATACCTACTAAACTAATCTACTTATGGAGCTAATAGCATAATAAATAATAATTCTATCAATACCTTCCCGGATTATGAGTGTTAGATAGTTGAGTTTCAGTAGGTATATGTATGTATATTGTATAGTCTATGTGTTTGAGTAATTCCCCAGCAAAGGGCCGGTGTTGGCATTTGTAAATTATTAGAAAGTAAAAAAATTCAAAAGCCATGTATTTATTCAAATATCAGACTCAAAAGTCATATAAATGTTTAATTTATATAAATATGGATAAAATTCAGTGAACCTTACTCGATTTTTAATGCGCAATTTTTACCATGCGCATATTAAAAAAATAGAGTTTCAATTAATATTTGAGCCCTTCATATTAATCACTTAAATGTTAAGTTTACTACTTGTAGGTACGTAGTTTCCTTACTACTTTTGTAATTTTTTAATGGACAAATTCAAAAGCGCTCTCGTAACCATTACTATATGGCAACCCTATTCGCATCCAACATTACCAACAATTTTTATTGGTTGTTGACGTTTTTTGTTTGGGATTGGGACCGGCCGGCTAGTCGTTAATATTTCGTTTCGTGTTTCATAATTCATTCTTTGTTGTGGCTCGGCAGTGTTGAGTTGCAGTCATGTCATGCCGCCCAGATCGGCAGTAACAGCCCCAGTTTGTTCTACAATTTAATTTGTTCTTTATATTTTATCCAAATTAAGTATTTCGTTTATCGATTTTCATTTATTTAGTGTTTTGTGCCTTAGAACAGTGAATAATCTCGAGGAGGTCGGTTTCTTTGTATTTAAGAAATCCCGTAATGATTGAGGAGTTAAAAATGAGTCTAAAAACGGATAAGGACGGTAAGCCCAATAAATGCAAAGTGTGTTCGCTTCGAAATGTAGAAATGGATCACTTTGAAACTGAAAAACATAAGCAGAATGCTTGCCTGAAGCAATACACAACAAATAAGTAAGTGGTATTTTTTTTATTAAATAAAATCAATTTGTATTATTTTGTTCATGAACCAAAATAATTTGTGTCCTTATCTTTCCTTGAGCGCATGGTAATATATTTTTCTTTTTTTAATATTTTTCTTTTACCTGTTTAGGGCAATTAAATAATGTATATAATATTAATATATTTATTATATGTGTTGTCATTTGTTTAATCTAAAATTTACTTGTAATTCAAATAATTCCAAATAATTCTCTAAACCAAATTAAATGTTATTGAGAAGGTACTAAATCATTAAGTTTTAAATATCTTTATCTACTATCTTATTAATAATTAATTGCCATATAATAATATTAATAAGGAATGTGTTTTAATATATTGCCTACAGGTCACAGTTCATTATAAATCGTAAAAAAGTAGTTTCGGTTTGTTGCGAAGTCACCTCGTCAACCGCCTCCACCAACAGTATTCACGGAAAAATTAAGGTTTCGGTAAGTATATACATAAGAATTAAAGAGATAACTTCAAGTAATTCTAAAGTTAAATTTGTATATTGCCATTTATATTTTATCTATGGAATATTTAATTTTTTAGGTGAAACCAGATGAGCCTGTTCAATTTAAATTTACTCTCACTAATGAAAGCAGAACTAACTGTCTAGAGGTTGTAGAAATAGATTTAGCTCATTTAAAATTTAATTTTGAGTTGCCCAACAACCCCTACAAGCCCGGCTGCGAACCTTACTCCATGCCACCAAGTAAGTAACTTATAATATTTTTTTATAAAAAAATTACTCTCAATTACAGACAATAGATAAAATTTGTACAAGAGCTTGGTTAAAAAATTGGCCACTAGACTAACTTCTCTATAAAAATGATATCACAAAATTTCCTTAACTGCCAATAAAAAGATGCTGAAGGCAAATCTTCCCCTAACTAGTTGTCGCATCGGTCACGTGGCATTTAACGTGTTAATTATTTTTTTTAATTGAATTGGACTTACCTGTGGCGAAAAAAGAACATTAAATGGCTCTTGTCATCACAACAGATCATAGTAGACTAATAACAAAGTTAGTGAATGTATGAATGTAGGGTATGTATAATAGACCATTGTCTACTCCACTATATTGTCTATATTACTAGGAAGAGATAAAAGGCCTTAAATTGTTTTATGTTTCTAGAAACAAAGTTGCCTGATAAAATTGTGGTCAGTTTTAAATCACCACACATTGGACAGTACGAAACTCCAATACTTTTCAACTTGAAGCGGAAAGACGATAGTGACGAGACCATTGTTTTATTGAGAGAAATGGTAAGTGACATTAATAAATTATGCCATTAAGTATAATTAATTAGTATATAATTGCTTAATTATGATGAGTTTTGCAAACACATTTTATAGATTTTTTTTCCATTATTTTCCGTCTATGGCGAGGCTCTACCTATTTAAATATAGAATAAATTTAAAATATCTATAACTATTTGGATACGTAACACTAGAATAATTAAATAATTCGACGCTTTTAAGTGCGCAATAAAAACTTTTTAATGTTATGCTTAAAATAATGTTCTTGTGATGGGCAAGGTTTTAAAAACACGATACTGAAGTAACAGTTCCCTTACGATGAATGATCAACGTGTTGTTTTTTTTTTTTTCATTCTTTTATGATCAGCTTGTATTTTTTACTCTCTTGGGCTTTGAGTAATATCAGGGTTTAAGTGGCTGCTGAGCAAAGGCCTCTTCTCATTCGGATAAGGTTTTAACATTAATCGCTACGCGTCCTCAAATAGAATTGGTTGATTTCAAACCTATAATTAGAAATTATAAGTTTTTTTGTTTTCTTTCGTGGTTTGTCTGTGGTGTCGAAATAATCTTAGAAAGTACCTACATACCTATTAAACATAATAGTTAACTCGGAAAAAGTAATACGAACTGGTAGTTTCCAGATTTAGGACCCGCACCCTCATGCATGAGAAGCGGGCGCCTTAACTAACCTCCACTACGACATTTATCTAGACTCTATTCATTAAGTACCACAAATTTACTTATTACAATTTCAAAGTCATAATTTGTGATTATGTATAAAGCCAGAATTAGTTAGGGCGTTTTCCGTCACCGAAGCTCAGTTAATACCTAACTAAATACATACATACATATGTTTTCTTAATGGTAGAAGTGATTATTGCTATATTATTTTTCTCATTAATGCTATGAAGCGACTGACCTGAATCATCGATCAAGTGTCAATTTTTGCCTAGGGTGAGACTAAAGGGAGTGGCTGCAAATACGAAAGAAGTCTCTCTTTTAGATTCTTGCTGACTTTAAAGTTTAAACCACCGCATTTCTTATTGCGCTTGCCCCTCAACCTCGGCTGAACATCGGCTCTTTTGGGCTCCACTGGAACGCTACGCTCCGTCTACGCCATCCGCAGACCAAAGAGTCTACATATTTTACCTTCTTCGTTTTCGGGAGGGTTACAAATACTTCTTGCCTTTCTAACAAAGAAGACGTTAAAGAATTCTGGCGATAAATCCTACAATATCACTGTCACTATAAGTACCTTTGTATAAAAGTACCTATAACTTCTGATATGACATAGCTACGCTTCAGGTTTCAATCCACGTTATTTATGGCCACGGTCAGATTTTTACATATAAATGAAATCCGATCTGATGCGTTCCTTTGGATGTAGCGAGGAATTTATGCCCGTAGCTAGATCTAACGTATTACTAGATTACTTTAGTGTCTAATCATATACAAAAACTGGAATAGACGAATGTATAAAACTGAAAATAATGAAGAATTTTATTAATGTATCGAATTTCGACAGACAACTGTGTTGGCAATTGTCTAAAAATAATAATCAACTAAATAAACACCCACGGTTTAGTCTGCATATTAGGTAGGTACTACTGCGGACTTTGTACTACCTATTGTTACTGTTTGGGGTTTTGGTTCTTGCGTGAGATATAAGCACCCATTGTGCTTAACAAACATTTAAAAAATATTTTTTTTATAATTATTGTTCAAAATAAATGCAAATTAAAAGTAGAAGGCGTTTAGTATAGAGTTTACTAATGTGTCAAAGAGCTCTTTTATCGATTGGATTACAATGAAGTATTCATACGGTTATTACAACTACATATATGTCGACCTCGTTAGAAGTTACCTATCTTTAACGTTTTTGTTTTAAGGAGGTTTTTATTGAAATAAATATAGTATTCAGAAAGTACCTACAAATGCCTATAAATAAAAAAATATATCTGGCGTCCTTTCACACCGCACATATTTGTAAAAAATACAAAGCCATTCATTCCTATTACGTATTGATGGAATTTAAAGAAAGAAGTCATTTATAAAAACAAAAGGCTTGGAACAAGCTAGTGGTAACACGTGGAAGTTAGTTTTTGTTAGATTTCTGTGAAACAGTTACTATTTTCATTGTTCCTCTTAAGCAGGTACGAAACGGTCGTGAGTTTGGTCCCTTTCGTTTGTCCGTTGGCTTGCTTAGTAACTTCTCGGAATGCTGCGATAAATAAACAATAGGTACTTACTTATTATCGTTATTTCATCAAAGGTTTGACCTTGATTTTTACCAGGAACTTTATGGGTAGATACTACTTAGGAGAGTCTTGAATAATTTTCACAGTGCAAAGAACCGTATTAATAAAATTCCTAGCACGGCTACGCATTGTCTATAATATTTCCTTAATTTAAGCAAGGATATATCAATAAAAAATTTGCATATGCCTTTTTTTCGGCGATAAAAAAGCGATATGCAATTCCAATGAATAAACGTCAAGTGTAGTATTTGTTTTCTTGACCTCGCATAACTTTAACGTTATCTTCCATACTGAACTCCTTTGACATTTTTTTTTGTCAGAAACGTATTCTTTCTTGGCTTGATCAATTAGTAATTTAAAATTGGAGATTATTATGGAACAAAATCTTGGGAAAGGGGTCTATTTAACTTGTTTGTGGCTACTCCAGCAGATTATGCAATAATTATGTTCCTTATATTCGGTCTATAAGCACTATTATAAGTATTAGTCTCCCTTATCGTTCTAACTTAGTGGGCAACCCTTTTCACTTGAAATTGTTTTTTTTTGCCAAACCTAACAGTTTTATGTATAACTGATTAGGTTTTTTTTCAAATGGTTATCTTTTGTTTCATGTTGTAATCCGAAAAACGCAATTTTAACGATAGATTAGTTTCTGTAGGATATTAAACTAGCTTCCGCCCGCGGCTTCGCTTGGTATGTTGGTAAAAAGCAGCCTGTGTTAATCCAAGTTATCACCTATCTACAACCAAATCGGTGTAGCCATTTTTGCGAGAACATTTAGGTACATCCATACATTCTTACACATCCATAGATTCATAACAAACTTTAACCGACTTACAATCAGTTGTTCCTACACGCATTTTTTTCCAAAACGTGTTTGTAAACAACCCGATGACAGCTTGTCTCGTTTTTTCCCTATTCAATCTCAACACGCTCCAAGTTTTTTTTATTATTTTCTATAAATAAATATTTTTTTTTTGTTTCAGGTGGTGTTTGTAGAAAAGACTGTGTCACTTCACGACAACATTATAAGCCCCTACGAAAGAAAAAAGGTTTGGGCAAAAGAGTTAGTCAGATCTACACGTACTGAGTAAGTTTATTTTGGTTTAACTATCGTTAGACATATTAAGTTAATTAAATAAATAAATATAAAAGTCACACCGCGACACTCGAAAATTGTTAAGAGCCCCGATGTGACTTGAAACTAGTAGAGCTTTTCTGGAAAAACAATAATCTCTTAGACTAGAGCTCTATAAAAACAACTTATAATTGTACTTACCTACATTTCTATATTAGCGTGTCCATGAACTAAATGTTATTATGAAAATCAAATACATCACAACGAATGCAGTTATGTCCGTTTGTCTAAATGCAACGTCAAGTTGTTTTTTTCCGCTTTACTACAATTACTTTAAGTCGTTTATGCTGTGAATTCCTTATATTAGATGTGCAGTAGGTATTGTTTATTCTTAGCTTACCAAACATAAGTCGTGATTAGCTGTAACATCTCTTGGTAAACCATAAATAAATAAATGAATTCCGAGTCATGATCATCGTCATTTCGACAAGTTCCTCAAGGTAGAGTGTCATCGCGGCAGGCAACGTGACACCAACAACTGTAACACGACGCCACCGCCGCCGCCGGCCAAACGTGTGACCTAGTTGTACTTCATAAAAGTAGTAGATTATGTTATGTATAACTCTATCTTTTATTTTAAATTGTATTTGCTTTAAAAATGCCAATAGACCACCACAGACGGGGCTCTATTGGGCTGATGTTCAGCCAGGGTTAAGTGCAATGTGGCACCGCGTCCTCGGCCCAAAGCGGAATGACCGGGGGGCTTTTAGTCAGTATGAGTCTGACACTACATCCCGCTAGGGAGAAGTCATTTGATGATTTTTCCCCCGCAAAAAAACTCGCATAGGGTAACCAAGGCCCAATACCCTACCACACCCTTTTCCTCCCCCATCCCAGTCTTCAAACACCCCATAAACGCCGCCGACAACTAGTAACTCCTTAATTTATTTCCAGTAAATCTGATGATATTTTCGGAATCCCAAAAACTTGCAAGAAGATCTATGCGAACAAATTGAACGTTGATGATAAAGCATCGGAGGCTGAGAAAGATTTGGCGTCCGACATAAGGTTGGTATACATAGTTTGCTTAACATACCTACTGAAGTGATTTGTCCTTTTTTATTTTATTTTACTAGGAGGTAATAACAACAGGTAACAATCGACATTATTTATGTTTTATTCAACACCCATATTTTGCACAGACCCTAGCGTAATCACAGCATAGTTGGCAAAAAATAAAAGTGCAGTAGCCTACCTACATTATCACATTAAAAAAGTGTATTAACAGTAACATTAATAATTCAAACCTCAGCCGGGGTTGCGGGGTAAGCGCAATGAGGCACCGCGACCTCGGCCCAGAGCAGGAGAAGGAACAGGGGGGTTTTTAGTCAGTAAGGCCCTGGGCGGGAGAAGTCATTTGATGATTTTCCCCTCACAAAAAAACCTAGATTACAATAATAAGCTACTCAATTAAATACTTTTCTGAATATTATATTATTTTATTGTACAAAATGTGTAATTATACTTCATTAGCACAACCATAGATTTGTATAACGAGGAAGAGCGAGGTTTATCCCGACACAAAGATCTTCGGATTACTTTTTAGGAAGCCCTGGCAAGTTAACACATTCAGTGCCACCGACTCACCCAGAGAATCCACGTAAATTTTATTCTAGTACCCTGGACTCGCCTGGCGAGTTCACGAGATCAGACTTGCTAATATAGAGGCATTTCTCAAACAGTGGATGGAAACAAAATTATGATGATTATATTTTTCCTAAATCTTTTAAGTATTATTTTTTATTTACTTAAAAAAACTAAACATGGTTTTTATTATTGTTTTGAGAATTGTGTGGTCGTGGTGGCCCGACGCTTCACATGTATTAGGTTCCAAACGTGGCCAGCAGGTACCAATTTTACGAGATTTATGTACTTTTTGGGTGTCCTAAGTTTCTTTAGACACCATTGAAAACCTGTTAAGGAAACATCGTTATTGGCCTTTATAATTTCTTATTAGAAGTTCCAATAAATCCTCAAACCATCTGCGTGTGAGAAGATGCCTTTGCTTAGCAATGAGCAGCACACGTGACTACTGCTATTTATTACGCGAGTAAGCCGAAAACATAATAATTAATTTAGTATGTCTCAAGAAAGTTATAATAAAAATATTGTTGAGAATATCCGAAATCTCCTTAATAAGTAGTAACACTTTCTACCACTAGATGGCAGTTTATCAATGAGTACCACTACTGCGAATACAATGTTAATGCTATTTGCGTATTTCCAGGCACACATTCGACGTTGGTATCACCGAGGATAATTACGTGAAGTTCTTTCATAACTTGCTTTGGTATGAAGAGACTGTCATACGAGTTAATATTAAGGTAAGAAACAAAGCTTTGAATGAACAAAAGTTGATAATTATCAACCAGCCAGCTACCTCTTAGTTAAGTGTTAGTATTGGTTAAGTGTCCAGTTAAGTGTGGGAGAGCCATGCTTCGGCACGAATGGGTCGGCTCGACTGGACTGATACCACTGCCTCACAGAAAACCGGCGTGAAACAACTACAGCGTTGTTTCGCCTTGTGAGTGAGGTTAGGTACCGGAGGCCCAATCCTTCCCCTTCCCGGACCCTTCCCCAATCCCTAAATCTCCAAATCCCTAATCCCTAAAAGGTCGGCAACGCACTCGTAATTCTTCCGTTGCGCGGGTGTCATGGGCGGCGCTGATTGCTTACCATCATGTAATCCGTCTGCTTTGCCGGCTTAATACATAAAAAAACCTTCACGCGGTTTCACACAAGGCAAACAGATCGTAGCGTGATATCTAGATACGACCTTCAAACCTTCAAGAAACGTGCGTTCTTAGGTCGGCAACGCACCTGTGACTCCTTTGGTTCTGCAATAGTCCATGGGCGGCGCCGATCGCTTACCATCAGGTGATCCGCCTGCTCGTTTGCCTCCTATTCCGTAAAAAAACTGTTAGCATAGCTCAATCCAAATCCAAACTAATATTATAAATGCGAAAGTAACTCTGTCTGTCTGTCTGTCTTTTCTTTACGCCTAAACTACTGAACCGATTTCTGTGAAATTTGGTACAGACATAGTTTGGAACTCGAGGAAGGACATAGGATAGTTAAAATAATACTATATATGTGGGGACTTAGTTGATCTGACAACGAAATTTTATTATCCACAGAACTATAATATGTCTCGCGCCACAATGAAGATACAACCAAATCCGAACTACGGAATTGTTTACTCTCTGACTGTGCCGGGGCTTAGCGAAAAGAGACCTTCTTTAATGATCGGTAAGTCCGTATTAAATTTTAATATCGCATTCAATTAGGAGATCCATGTTCTGCACGAATGAGTCGGCTCGACCGGAGTGATACCACGACCTTACAGAAACAGCCACAGCGTTGTTTTTTGCCGTCTGAGTAAGGTTACTGGAGGCTCAATATAAGGTCGGCGTACCGTAAAACGGAGTGAATAGAATTTGAGGGGTATAGATTTGTTGTATTTATTCACCCCCTTCTGTCTCTATTCACCCCTCGAATTCTATTCACCCCGTTTCACCGTAATAAGCTCTCATCGTGAATGCAATTTTATTGCATTTTTGTTACATTATCTGCTATTAAATACTTCTTTGCTTACTTCTTCAGAGACAAAAGGCGTGGTGACATAAGAAAAAAATATTCATATTATTCTTACGTGTATTTGCAGGAGACTTGCTATTCGTCAGGCCTCATAACCAACAAGAGGTGATGTTTGAAGCGACCGTTAAAGAGGTCAACGAGAACGAAGCTCTAATTGGAGACTTACATGCCAAGTAAGTACCTTTCTTTTTTTTATTATGTTGTACTGATAAGGCGCCAAACGAGATTACCTGGTGGAAAGATGTCAGCGCCGCCCATGGACACCTCGCAACAACGGAGAAGTTACAAGTGCGATGCCGAAATTTTGGGTATCATGGATCTTGAGAATTTGGGATTGAGTCAAGTCAAAGTCAAAATCACTTATTTTAATTTGACTTTGAACGCCAAGCAAAAAATGTGAATAAAGTATTTCAAGAGCTTTAACATTAAGCTTGTCAGTCTGTCCGTCTGTCCTCTAGTGAAGCTATTTGCTCGTTCCAAAGTGTAGATCCCCATGGAGAAGAACGAGCAAGAAACTCCATGGTTACTCTTTTGCAATACATTTCTTTGTTACAACCTCACTCACACGGCGAAACACAACGCTGTGGTTGTTTCACGCCGGTTTTCTGTAAGAATCCCAAATAACTGGCAACACGCCTGTAACTTGTACCTCAACAGGTATCAATGGTCAAGCGTCCGTTGATTGCCTTAATGAGGTCAAAATATTTAAACAAAATTACCATTTTTTATGACCCACCATCTTATTTCCAGATTTACTAACTACTATGCGATGGATGGCCTGTTTGACATTCGGTTCTTCCTGTCTCGCATTTCACTGGAGAGGATGCATAAAGCCGTGAATGATATCAGAAACAATGGCCATTACACGAGGATATTCCCGAAGGAGAACGAATGCGTCAAAAAGGCCCCACCAATCTTGAAGTGAGTACAACTGTTCGTACCTTCATTATACGTTTTTAACTACGTAAAGATATTATAATTTGTTTCACTGTCTTCATATAAGTTCCAAATAAACTAGATAAAGCACACTCATACATAAGGACGCATATCATTTCGTATTAGGTATGAATTAATATGCGTACCTATATTTCATATTGAGAATGAAAATTCGGACTCGAACAAGTTTCAAAATCAAACAAATTTTATAGAATCGACGTGCTGTTGCCATAAATTGTTCATGTTTTTTCTTTCTCATTTTCCTACAACTAATAAGGGTCAGCATTCTGGGAAACAAATAAAACAATGTAGTGATGTGGGTAAGACAGATTTTGCGAGGCCATTTTCTGTAGCGACCTGAAGACGAAAGATAAAAATTCTTGAGGCGGGTCCCCTGTAACGCGGGCTTTAGGCGGTGGCCCAAGTCGACCCGCCTTACGCCGCCTTTGAAAACACAGTAGCCTTTTCCCTTCAAATAACGAACTAAACGTGTTTTTATTAGTTATTTCAACCCGCTCGTGGAAGCTAACTTGGAGCAGCGTTGTGCAGTGGAGTGCATTGTGACGAACTCATCAGGGACTGCGCCCTACTTACTGCACGGCCCGCCCGGTACAGGCAAAACTATAACCATCGTCGAAGCTATCTTACAGGTAACATTTTAATTTCTCTTACACTAGCATTTTTAACCTTTCCGTAGGTGCGTTTGTCGATCACACAAAGTGTTATTTGCCAAGCTAAATAGCGACGCGAGCGTATAGCGCGCGCTTCCAAGACCCAACAGGCCACAAAAGATGAGGCCCAATTAGGCTGATATTCAGCTGGGGTTGCAAACGCAATATTGTAGCGCGTCCCCAGCCAATAGCCGGAGAAGGCATGGGATGGTTTTTAGTCAGTAAGAGTCTGACACCCTCCCCTATATGATCTTATTTGATGATTTCCCTCATAAAAAGAAAAAACCTTTCAATGCTTCGTAAGTCATCTCATCTTCATTTTTCAGCTTTTCTTATCTATTCACATACTTGATCATAATCCCTATTAATTTAACTTTGCTTCTATTTCAAAATAATCAAATGCAATTTTCATTTGTTATTTTTTAAGTTAGTTTAATACTTAAATAAGTTCCACCCCGTTTTTAGTTAGGTAATTTACATTATATATATATATATTCGGATTTCGGGGACGAAAAATTAATCTAGCTAGGTTTAATGTTAAGAAAAAAAATCTTCCAGGTATATTCACTAAAATTAGGTACTAACTTAAGTGTCAATATTTTTCAGTTGGCGATTTCGGAGCGCAACTACCACATAATGGTATGTACTGACTCCAACATGGCGGCCGACCACGTAGCGAGCATGCTCATACAATACAGCCATTTGTTCCCAAAATCAAATTGGTTGCTTCGGGCTAATTCCAAGTTCAGAAACTGGTAAGTACCAAAATAGTCTTTAGACCCGGTGTCTGTGTCTTAAAACTACGAATCTGGTTTAAACTTGCGAGAGATACTAAGGCCACACAAAAATACTACTTATTGGGAAAGCTAAGAACACTAAGTTTTAGATATTTTTTAGCTAATTATTAAGAAATAAGTAAGCTATTTGACGCAAAAATACTATGACGTCATAAATCAGTTTTTCATACATGTTTCATAAAGTATCGTTTTTGACATTTGGATAAAAGTATTGAATTTCACTAGTTGGAAACTACCGTTTTATCTGTGCGTTCGGCAAATTGGTGTTCTAGCCAAATTATATATATTTTATGTCACGTAAAGGCCATTTCATAAGCAGAAAAAGGATAACCCTGCTATACATCAAACACCCAAATAAATATACACCTTAAATAATAGGAATTAAGATACATTATATTTTCTTTCAGGGAGACATTGCCGAAATGCTTGCTCAAATATTCTAACGGGACAAGTCGCCATCACTTCATCAACATCGCCATAAAAGATTTTATGTCTTACCGTATAGTCGTCACCACACTGTCGCATGCAGCCAAGTTCGGAAGGTACTTGAGTAGTTTCCACCATCAATAATATATTTAATTTAATTTAAGTGTATAAGTGACTCAAACGTGATGACGTCATAACTTGTGATTTCATATAACATTTATAGTATATATTATATCTATATAAATAATATTTAAGAAGTTTAAGTGGGAGAGCCATACTTTGGCTCTAATGGTGACCCGACCACAAAACCAAAACCTCACTCTATTTCCAGTCCTCCAATCCGACCCAATACATAACCCCCAAAAGGACGACAACGTACTAGCAATTGGGTAGTTGTCTAGGTCAAAAATAAATTAATTCGACGTTTTAATATGTAAAATATTGATAAATAACTATACTTTTATTCATCGATCGATCGATACACTAAGTTTTAGATATTCTTTAGCAAATTTTTTAAAAATAAGTATGCTATTTGACGCAAAAATGCTATGACGTCATAATTCAATGTTTCATACAATTTTCATAGAAAAGTATCGTTTTTGACATTTGGATAAAAGTATTGAATTTGACTAGTTGGAAACAACCGTATTTCTTTGGTGTTGCCAGCATCCATTACCGACGTTGATTACTTACCACCCGCCTCGCTGAATTTGGTTAAATAGTTTGTCGCTCTCGCATCACATCACACATCATCAGCTTATAAGTGCCCACTGCTGAGCAAAGGCCTCTGCTCACACGGAGAAGGTTTGAGCATTAACCACGCTTGCTCAAGGATGATTGGCGATTTGAAACTTAAAATTAGAAACTATAAGTCCATGTTCTATCACGATGTTTCCCTTCACCGTATGTCAGCGGTGTCTTTTTAATAATAGAACATATAACTCGGAATAAGTCACATTGGTACTTGCCAGGTTTTGAACCCCCATGCGATCACACCCATGAGATGCGATCGCCTTAAAGTCTAGGCTCTGTTTAATAAAAAAAAAGTTCACAACTAAAACTATGTGTATTTAGGGATGTTATAGATATGAACTATCGGATACGAATTGGATACGCATATAGGAATAATGTTTTACTGGATACGGATAAGAAATTATTTCGGATCCGATAATTTCGGTTTTTTTATTGCAAAAGTTAAATACAAGTGTAACGTGTCTCAATTAGGCTCTGCCCCTATCCGATAGTATCCGAAACTTATAATTATTATTAAGGTTTCGGTTACAATTACGGATATTTTTTTTTGTATATCGGATATCCGATAGTAGTTTCGGATACGGTTACGGAGCTTCCTAACATCCCTGGTATTATTCACAGACTCATGGCACAACGTCGCATTGGCCATCACATCTCCCACCTTTTCATTGACGAGGCGGCTCAGGCGAGTGAGCCAGCTTGTCTCATTCCAGTTTGTGGTCTACTCAAGAAATGTGGGTCCTTAATCCTGGCCGGAGACCCTCACCAGCTCGGCCCAGTCGTCATATCGCGAAACGCTGCGGAAATTGGACTTGGTATGTACTTTGAACATAAAGATATACTATTAGCACATTAACTAGATATTGATTTCGGACGCGCTATGTTGGTACCGAGTTTAGATGTGTATTAGGAAAATTTAACCTTATCCTTATTATTTATTGGTCGTATAGAAGTCGATTTTGTTGAGGAAATGACTGTCTGATTAAGTTTATTTTTAACCAAAAAAGTGTCAGCCAATTTTTACTTCTACATATTTGTAACATAAACGGAAACCTTAAAAACGAGTGCATGGTTGGCGTGGTGGCTGGGCAACTGGCTGCTGTGCAACGTGTTGCGGGATCGATTCCCGTACGAAACAATACTTTGTGTGAGCTCTTTTTTCTTTGTTTTGAGTTCACTCTGTTTGGCTTGTGTATGTGAATTTTTAGGTTTTATATAATATAACGATACTGGAGAAAATCCTAGTGTAAGTTTAAAAAAAACAGTCAGTTCGACAACACAGTTTTTTTTACACCTTTTGTAAATGTTTATACGAGTTAATAAATATATTTTGTATTTGTCGCTGAAAAGTATCCGTGCCATACAGCATACAGGGTGCTTAAAACCTATCATATCATGATCACCCACTCAAACGAAGCACTCTTCCGTCCTAATATGTATATTATGTAAAACAACAGGATTATATTTGAATCTACTGTTACTGTAATAATTTCTTGTGACCACAGGTACATCTCTGATGGAGCGTCTCAAGAAGGACAATTCTCTATACAGTGACAGCCGCAACGATCCCAACTATGTGATTATGTTACGAAACAACTTCCGATCACACCCGGACATTTTGGAAATCCCTGACAAACTCTTCTATAAGGGACAACTCCGGGTATGTTGACAATTGACATATTTATTTTACTTTTGTGGATTGATAAAGAATGGACCGTATATATACCTACGGCGTTAATTAAAACGATATATGTGTTTTTTTAATGGTATAAGTCGGCAAACGAGCAGACGGATTACCTGATGGTAAGCAATCGGCGCCGCCCATGGACACCCGCAACACCAAAGGAGTTACGAGTGCGTTGCCGGCCTTTTGGGGATGGGGGTTGCGGATATAAGGATTGGGAAGGGATAGGGGAAGGGCAGGAATTGGGCCTCCGGTAACCTCACTCACACGGCGAAACACAACGATGTGGGTTGTTTCACGCCGGTATTCTGTGAGGCCGTGGTATCACTCCGGTCGAGCCGACCCATTCGTGCCGAAGCTTGGCTCTCCCACACTTAAGTGTTACCATATTTAACGCCAACGTGCTTGCCTACAAAAAAAATGAATGTCATTTTTGAATTTTTTTAGCCAAAATGTTTATTTACGAATTTGATCACTCTTTAGACATACATATCACACTCAGACCATGAACAATAATTTCTGGATCACACAAATGTGTTTCCCAGCCACTGTGCCAACCGTTTAGTCAATGAAAATGGACACTGGTTAATGTCTTATAAATTGTTGACAGGCATGCTCAACGGAAGATCCCTTGAGTACAACCGATATCCTAGGTGAGAAGGAGACCAGTCGCGCCATCGTATTCCATGGTGTGCTTTCCAAGGAAGAAAGGATCGGCAAGTCACCCAGGTATATATTTATTTGAACCACCAGAAGCTGTTACAACACTTAAATGTACAGTTAACAATTATTGAGTTCCAAACTAGTTGCACAACATATAAAGGTAGCTACAGAGCGTTATGGACACTGATATATAATAGGTACTTATAAAAGTATACCTAACAAGACTAAACTATATATATTTAATTAAACATATTATATTTATTATATTATATTAGGTATATATTTGTTTGTTTATGTTATAAAACTTTAGTCAAGTAAGGATATGTAGATATTATTGTTTAGGCATATAAGCTAGGCTATTGCATTGGGAACAAAACCTGTAAAAATAGTCTAAGTTTGGAAAAAATAAATAAAAAAAAATACATTTTTTACAAAACTCTATTTAACAAGATTAAACATTAAAAATTAATACAATAAAAACAACAAGATTAAAAATTACAATATTACTAATTTAGTTCGGCCCACTTTTTTCGCAACTGCGACAAATAGTCAAAGTGTACATCAAAAGATTCACTGCAGTTGCTTGATAAGCGACAGAGACGGGGAATAGGTGATGATTTACCATATATATATATATATATATATATATATATATTTAATGTGATAGGACTGCAAACGAGCAAACGGATTACCTGATGGTAAGCAATCAGCACCGCCCATGACACGCGCTACAACGAAAGAGTTACGAGTGCGTTGCCGACCTTATATGGATTAGGATTTTCGGATTGGGGAGGGAAAGGATTGGGCCTCTAGTAACCTCACTCACACGGCGAAACACAACGACGCTGCAATTGTTTTTCGCCGGTTTTCTGTGAGGCCGTGGTATCACTCCGGTCGAGCCAAACCATTCGTGCCGAAGCATGGCTCTCCAACCTAAAAACTGTTATATAAAATTGTAAAGTTATTCTAATCAAGAAAGAACATTTTTTCTTTTCTTATGACATCAAATACTTTCGATGATATGTTGATTTGAATTTCGAACGCCGAACGACGATTTGACGTCACACGAATTTCAAATCAACATACCTACATACCCAGAAGTAGGTACATTTTATATGTACTTAAAAATGACGTAGGAATTTCATTCCAGTCTAAACTTACTAACCTTTAATATGAAAATAATAGCAATGAATGAAAACGGCTTTTTAAAAATAATTTCATTGCATTGCGTTGTATGCAAATTGTGATTCTATTGTTATAACAATATGGTTTATTTTTGCAGCTTCTTCAACATGATGGAATGTGAGATGGTGCTGCAGTACGTTAAGCGTTTGGTGCAGGTACATGAGGTACCTATGAGTGATATTGGCATCGTCACACCGTACATTCGTCAGGTGCGATATGAAATTCATTTCGATTTATACTACCTCCTACTAACCTTCTTATATTATAAACAAAAGTTTTTGAGAATATATGGATGTGTGTTTGTTATTCTTTCACTCGAAAACGCTGGACCGATTTGGTTGAAATGCGGAGTGTCGATAGTTGACCTTTGATTAACGCATAGGCTGCTTTTTACTAACATAACATGCGGGCGGGACCTAGTACAGTAGATTCAAAGAAATGAAAAAACATAAGTATGCAATATTACATTATGGATATGGTACAAGCGTGTAAAGTTGGTGATTACCGCAGAGGCGCATTGAGGCCCGAGACGTTGGGCGAAGGTCTTAAGGAGCCGAGAACGGTATCACTCTGGAAGCATGGCTCTCCAACACATTTTATATGTTACTAGCTCTTACCCGCGGCGTTGCTCCCGTCCTTTGACTACCTACCCTACTCTACCTACTCTACCTACTCTACCTACTCACCTACCCTACCTACCCTACCTACCCACCCTACCTACCCTACCTACCCTACCTACTCTACCTACCCTACTCTACCTACTCTACTTACCCTACTCTACCTAACCTACACTTCCTACTCTATCCTATCCTTTGTCCTTCTCCTGGCTCTAAACTACCTCCTTGCCAATTTTCAGCTAAATCGGTGCAGCCGTTCTTGAGTTATAAGTGGAGTAACTAACACGACTTTCTTTTATATATATAGATTTATTTATGTCAAAAAATATAAAACTTGATTATATTTTTATTTATACTAAAATATATTTTTCAGGTGTACCAAATAAAGAAGTCGCTAACAGAATGCGGCTTCAACGATATAGAAGTTGGGACCGTGGAGGCTTACCAAGGCAAAGAGAAGCGCGTCGTCATAATATCCACTGTAAGAGCCAATTGCAACCTTCTGGACTATGACGCTAAGTTCCAACTCGGTTTCCTTGTCGATGATAAGGTAAGATTTTTTATTACATAGTAAAGGACAAGTAGAAAGTCGCTTTATATCCCGATTCTTTAAAACTACACAACGGATTTTGATGCGTTTTTTTGAACACATAGCACAACGTAATAAAAAACAGCTTCATAGTTTTAAAGATTACTTAAAATTAGTATTGTAGAGGATGGTTTTTGTGTATACCTAATAACGTCGGTTAAATAGTAAATAAATTCAGTAGCAGCATTGTCCCATGCGAAGCTCGGGCGGGTCGCTAGTTTAATAACAAGTCATCTATGCTAATAGCATAAAGGTAAAATTTGTAAGATTGTATGTAGGGGGTTATTTTTAAAACCACAGGTCCGATTTCCAAAATTCGTTGTTCAAAAATTCTGTTACTAACTATAGTTAAAAATTAGTTTGAGCTGTATACCTTGATGTAGGTATAATTCACTCTAATCAGCTTTCATTAGTTCAATGTAACTAAGACTTAAAACATGACCCAATCACTAATCCTGTTTCCAAAAATTACAAAATTTTATCTGAATTAACAATTATTATTCTTTTTTTTAGCGCTTCAACGTAGCGATAACTCGCGCAAAAGCCAAAGTGATCATAATTGGAAACCCGCTGTGTTTGGAGAAAGATGTCAAATGGCGTATGTACATGGATCGTTGCCGCGAACTAGGAACATACCACGGCTTCGATTCCAAAATCGTTTCAGATGATAGCAGCCAACAAATTATAGACAAGTTAGGGCAACTCATACAACGCATTGAAATTACTGCGAAAGAGACAAAAAACTAAATTTTAAATTTGGAATTATTTAGCACCGTATAGCCGGATCTATGGATTCTTTGCGTTAGCTAGCGTAGTTTAAAAAAATTAGCTATAAGGTACGTTTTTTTTGTTTTGACTGAGGAAACTTCGCTGTTGCTACGAACCTAATCTGCGCATTGGTGCTACTGTCTGTTATATTCATTATGAACTGCCTCTTTGGGATTCATGGTAAGTACATAAATTAGGTATACGTAAGAAGATGTAAAAGATGAAGCGTACCTACCCAACAATGAATATTTTACAACCTCCTCGCATACTAAACCTGTTACCGGAAGCCTACATAATGTTACACAAATTTAGAGACATTTGTAAATGTTTTTTTAATGTTCATGACATTTTTTTGACAAATCAACACTAATCGCCTATCATTTATCGTTATTAAGGTAATTTTTAATTAAACGTGTGATGGACAAGAACTTTTATGTAATTAAAATAATAAATGTATTGTAGTTTTCTACACCCGTGTTATTAAAAACAAGATATTTTACACTCGTAGTTTTAAAGTTTTAATACAATTGAAACGCGTGGTAACATTCCACTTATTTTTAAGTATTATTGACGTGTGTGTTGGCTATTACAATTTTTATTTGTTTTCACATCCGCTGCCACATATTTACGTAATAATTTTATCAATTTATTCGTAAATTTAAACTTGTGTGACTTAATAATCATCAATTCACGTGGAAATTCCTATTACGGGGGCATCATGACGTGTGGAAGAATTTTTATGTGTATTGAAACTATTAAAAAGAACTGGATCTCGTCTCTCGAGTTAGTGACATTTTTATTATTTGATAGAAATTAATGTGGATAAGGTTATAATGTAAAGAAAGTGAAGTTTGTGGTTGGGTGTCTTAGAAACGCCATTGTTATAATTATAAGAGGTGCCTTGGATTATACAAAGAATGTTACATTTTTAAAAACCTTAGTAGGAACTCATAGTATTGTGAGATCTGGAAAACTTCCCTCCAAAAAATTATACTGTGATTAACTTAAAGTTTAAATAGCAGAAGTGTGCCAAAAATTTCATTAAATTGACGGTTCGTAGAACTATAGTCCTTCAGGAAATGTAGACTGGTAATCTAAATAAGGGTTTTCTAACATCGATAAGGTTCAAAATAGGTTGCAGCGGATGTGTTGACAAAGGTACTATGTGTAATCTTATTTACTAACGTGACGTCTATTAAATGTGATATTTTTATAGAATTCTGCTTTACACTTGGACCACTTATTACAATATTGTATAACACAGTTCCCCCCTATTTGTAAATTTCCCGCCAATTTATAATCTAGGTTATAAACACACGATTTTAAAATCGTCAAAAATTCTCGATTTTCTTTAATTTATAAAAAGAACATTTGCTTAATAAGAAAACAGTATTCTTGTAAAATGTATTAAGAATTCAGGTTACGTTCAGTTATTTTGCTAAGCAGATGGGGCTACCCCATAGAGAATAAACTCACTAATATAACATTGGACGTTAAATTTTTGAGGTTTAGCGGTTTATGTTTAGGCCATACGTTTGATTTCCTATTTACTACGTTTTTTTTTTCATATAATTATGAATCATATTTTTGTAAATCGATATTTTACTGATTAAAGTAATGAATATTATGTTATTGAATCACTGACAAGTACATTTTATATTTTTTAGCCATATGTCATTGAGGCCATATTGAGGCTATAGATTGTAAGTATTTTTATAGTTTTTAAACGTAGTTCACTAAGCCAACTAAATGTTCTCTGTTTTTACATAAGTTTATGTATCGTGTTAAACAAAATGATGCACATGCCGCGTCTTGTATGCCCATTAAGCGTAGTTTTAATCATAAGATTATTGAATCTTCACCAAAGATTCTCCCTAAATGTTGGTGTAAAATTTTATAGTAGATTTTTGGTACATATTTTATTTGCTAAAGTTTATAAAGGTCACAAACCATGGTATAAAAATTATATTATAAGAAAGTTTAAAGAGTGGTTTTAGCCACTTAAAGTTTTAATGTAAAGTAATATTGATAAATGTAGTTTTAAAGGTGACTACAGGGATGTACCAAAATCATACTTGTAAGACCAAGATTTTTCTATGTTCTCCTTAAACATTTTGATAATTATGACTATTGTTGGAATTGTTTAGGTTTTAAAAAAAATGATATTTCGAAAATTATTTTCTTCAAATTATATTCTTTTATGTGCCATAATTATATTAGTTATGAGAAATATTATGTCCATTATATTTTAGTACAATCGTTTTATTACAAGTGTATGGAGATCCAATTATTGAATTAATCTTGGTGCTAAATGTCTATACACAAATGGGTAGATAATATATATGTAATGAAATTAATCCTGCATTTTCATTTTGTACCTAAACATTTTTTTTTCTGTGTCCAAACAGTTATAAATGCCTTATATAAATATCATAACTGGGCAAAACAAATCCTTTGAAGTTCTGGTAATATTATTTTAGCGGACCGTGCACGAGTTCCTCCTTGAAACCTGTGACCGATCCGATTATTAGGTACCTTAGGACCTTGTGGTAGAGATACTCACTTCACTGTATACAAATTATAATGAATGGGGCAATTTGTTATCATTGTGTGCGTTGCGATGAATATATATAAAAAGTTTAGAAAAAAACGCTTTAATTTCTAAATTAAAACCATTTTAAGACGAATCTATATCTGTCAACTTCAAAAGCGTTATAACTGTCAAATGGCAGTTGTCATTGCCACTGTCAGTTGTCAAACAGCCTTATTTCAAATCGATTGATTACAGAATCACAGACAGATGCAGTATTTTCGCGATTGTGATGCAAGTAGGTTGCGTGCATATCGGAAAAAGGTAAATTAATTCTGAAACAAAACTGCGTGTTAAAAAACTTACAAAGGACTAGAATAAATTGAAATCACGTAAAAGTAAAACTTACATAGTTGCGAAATTATTAACCTCTTAGTGAAGTTCAGTAATGTGTTAGTTTGTATTATTTTGTGTCATAAATCGTGAAAATGAGTGAACAAGTGGGATTTGTTGACATCCTGGAGCCAAGGAGGAAGCCGGGAGGTATTGTCGGTTTTATGACCCGGAACTGGTATCCGCAAGGGACGATGACTTTAGACAAGAAATATTCGCCACAGGATCTCAAAGATCTGGTTGCCAATTCTATGTACATGAACTCAATATTTGAATCGGTAAGTATTTTTATGTATACTTTCAATAATCCTTTTTTCAATCTGTTAAGGTTGCTTGCCATAAATTATTATAATAAACTCCACTAACTACATCTATGTCGAACAAATACCAACAAGATTGAGAGTGAAAGATTAAAAATACCTAAGTTTCCAAGAATGCAGCAGTAGCATCAGGCATATTAGCAAAAAAAAAAAAACTATTTCCTACATTTTAATTTTAATTTTCCTTTATCAAATATGAATACCTAGTTCATATTATTAAAGAAATCAAGCAAAGATAACAAGTTTGTGAATAGTTTAATTAATTCTTATTTAATAAATAAAACACACAAACTTACCTGAAAACCTGTCCAATTATAAAAAGAATCAACAATAATCCAAGGCTCTTTTTATTCCATCCCGCATATTTTATGACATAATTCTTTTGACTCAAAACAGTTTTCGTGCTATCCTAATTTATCACATTGAGCATTCATTTAAAAACGCAGTCAATAGCCAGTAACCAGTATCACAACAAATTAAAAAAAAAAACAAATACTCATCTTAACAGAATATTTTGTAATTTGGTAAAAGAATGCTACTAATACTGTAAATGTGACTGTTTTAAAGTAACTGTTTTTACTTTTTAAAGGAAAAAGTACTGAAATTATTTGAATAAAATTTGGTCCTATAATAGATTTTTGTCTGAAATATTTCATTGGCTACACCTTTACTTACCTTGGTACTGTGCTGACAAAGGTGCTGGCTGAAGCTAGTAGATTATATATTACTACCTACTCTCGGGCGGTTTCACCTGTTGCTTGGCTTGATCGTAGCTTGATGTTTTATAGCCTATAGCACGCAGGAATATTGTAGCTATCTATCAGTGAAAGAATTTTGACAATCCAACCAGCGGTTCCAAAGATTACCCCTACATACAAACTTACAAACCTTCAAATTTTACCTCTTTGTAATATTAGTATAGCTATAACAAAATAGAAGCTGTGGTTGATGCTGATATGTACAATCTTATGGGGTCTATTTCAACCACCACAAGTCTTTACCAGTGATTCTGTGCACAGGATAAAAGCTTAATTATAAAAACAACTATTCTTTTAGATATGTTCAAGAACTGGTGCCCCAAAGGAACAACTGCAGAAGCTTGTGAACAAGTTCTTGGAAGAGATGGGCCTTGATAAGAAGGTCCATGTGATAAGGTGGATGGGAGTGCTCTTCCTCAAAATCTGCTTCATGATGAAAATCAAGATGTTTGTCAATGAAGCAGCTGTGTTTGATGTGAGTGTGTACATGTTTCTATAGGATTAATTGTAGGTGGGTGCAGCAAATTCCTGGGGCCTTTGAACCAATCTTACAATCATTATCAAATATTGTTCTATGATGGCGCGGCAGCCGATTGCCCAACTACTGCGCCAACCATATACTCTTTCTGATGCTAATATATTTATTATTCAATTTTAATAGGTACCATTTTGTTTAAAGCCCTGCCTTTTAAAATTTCTAATGATCTCAATGTGATTGTAGCTGAAATCGATTATGGGCAAGAATCCAGTGCTGTTTCTGCCCACTCACAGGAGTTACGCAGATTTCTGCTTGATGACGTATCTGTGTTACCACTTCAACATTGATTTCCCAGCTGTGGCTGCTGGCATGGGTATGTATATCTTCATTTATAGATTTCAACGGATTTATGGCTAATGCAACACTGAATTAAGTTCTTTGCCACGCGATTTACTTCTACACCTTACCATGTTAATCGCCACAGCTATCCATTTTAAATTAAGGACTTAGGTATGACAGAGTAGGGACCATTGAGATGCCAAATGCAACAATAACTGTACTGCTAGCGTCCTTTACTGCTCCATACTTTATGCTTTTTTACATTTGGAACTTCTCTGTTCTTACATGTTTCTTCAACTGTCGATGTTCCCTTCATTAGCTTTGGGAAAAGAAAGACGAATTTCTTAACATAATTTACTACCACAGCAAGGTCCGCTGATCTCATACAAATAATAAGTTTACCTGGTGGTTACCGTTTTGGCGTCTCTCATTAACTCCAGGTCTAACTATTCGCAACTCATCATCCAACAATAGTGCCTCAGTGAAGTAAGACTCTAATTTCATATTATTGTTATAGATTTCTACTCCATGGCGGTAATAGGTCGCCGAATGAGGGAGACTGGCGCCTTCTACATCCGTCGTACGCTGGGTGGAGACGCCTTGTATGCTGTGACTTTGAAACAGTACGTTAAGACTGTAGTGGCTAAACACGCCGCGCCCATTGAGTTCTTCCTCGAGGGCACCCGCAGCCGAAGCAACAAGAGCATGCCCCCTAAATACGGTAAGTTTTACCTGTTAATTTGTTATCTGCTATAGCGACCTGTTTTCTGTAACCCGTAACTCTAGAGTCTATTTCTGTATATACATATAATAATATTGCTAGAATAGGTCTTTGATTTTTTTTTAATTATCTTATTTAAATGAATTCATAACCACTGGTGGCGATCTTTACTTTTGTGAGGCTGTCTTCGATGTCAATGTGTGTGTTCGATTTCATACCTAGTATCTAAGTTTACTGAATAAAAATAACACCGTTCGTTCCCTTGCTCTGGGCCGCGCGGTACATCATTGCCCTTACACCTTTGAGAGGTAATAGGATATATACCTACATTTTTCAAAGGATAGATAAATGTTATCTGATGAATAAAATTGTTGCTGTCACTGTCTTATACAAACATTCTGACGCGAGAGCATCATAATTATTCCCCATCTAACTTTTATCTATCCGTTGAAAAATCAGCCCTTAGCATAGTAACTATTTAAGTACTTTTCCAAGTTGACCACTCGCTTTAGCATAATTTAAATAAAACATATAATTGTGATTCCGTTTAACACTTATAAGCGAAGCATCTACTTCATTTGTATTTGTTCTAGCAGAATAGTTAAAGTTGTGTAAACATTGTGTTTGAACAACATAATGGCAGTTTGCAAAGTAAAGATTGAATAGAGTCATCTAGATAAATGTGCAACGTTTGAGATGTGCATACTGAACGAATTGGTATGATTATTATGTTTTCGGCTTACGGCTTAGGTCGAGTACCTCGTCAAAATAATTACTAGAAAGTTATAATAAAAATTGTATCATTGTTACAAATCATTATAACATAATAATATGTTATAATGTCGGAACTAGTTTTTTTATGATGGGGAAAAGTCAGTCTAAAGTCGAGGAGAGAGAGAAGAGGGAGTTTCAGATTCTAGCTAACCTCCCCCCCCCCCCTCCATTCCTTCCGTCGGAGCTGCGGTGCATTGTTCCGCACTGATCAACAGCCCTAAAGGGCACCGTCGGTGGTGGTCTACTGGCTCTTTGAGGCGCGCGCGCCCGAAGATCGTCTCTCGTCTCGCCCTAGGTGGAGCGAGAGGGATAGGCTTCTTCTGACTCTTATTGGCTAAAAACCACCACGATCCTTCTCCTGCTCCGGGCCGGAGCCGCGGTAGGTGGGTGATTCTTCACATCAATAAAAAAAAATAATAATAATGTCATTATCCTCAACCGAAAATTAACGAGTCTGCTGATTAAAACACAGATAATTATTTTATTAAATTTAATCTCACCACTGCTTACAAGCAACCGATTAAAAATATTGTATAAAATAAATTACTAAGATGCTTAAAAACCTGGGAGGATAATGACTTGTTAAATAAAAGTTAAGGTTTTTTGGAGAATCACCCAGGTACGTTATTGCGCGTGACCCACCCCGGATATAGGAAATAGTGGTAGACTATATAATACAACCACTAATTTCATAAACTATATGAATCTTATTTAATAGCTTACTAGTAAATTAAGCTACAATAAATTTGTACTAGGTACTTCACGACACTGCGCAGTTACAGTATCAACTTGATAGAATTATAAGTTTAAAAGAAAATTCATCCGCTCCGCTAAGTAGTAGTACTTATAGACTGAAGAATATAATTATAATAACAAAATTAAAAATATTTAATTCAATATTTTTTCACAAGACGGATTGTTTAGAAAAGTTATAATAATTTATTGTTGTTTCCCCACCAGGTATGTTATCCATGGCGATGGTCCCGTTCTTCTCTCATGAAGTTTCCGACATCACTATTGTTCCTGTTAACATCAGTTATGACAGGCTCATGGAGACTTCTCTCTTCGCCTATGAACATCTTGGAGTGCCGAAACCTAAGGAGTCCACTGGGGTGAGTTGATTCTTCCTATTATAAAAAAGCGAATAGTACATCTTCCTTTAGCCGAGGTGAACCGACGAGGTCGTTGCCACTTTGCCACCTGAACAGGGTAAGAAGATGCAAGTTACGGAATTATGGCTCTGTGTTGCGGATTGAAGCTCTATGGCATAAAACATACCGACTAATATAGGTTGCATTTTTATGGATATTTTGCTTTTAACAGACTTCCAAAAAGGAGGAAGGTTCTCAATTCGACCATATATATACTGCTGACCAGCCGTTACTGATTTGAAAATGACAAACGAAAAAAAAAAATTAACTCTATATATCTCAATCTCTTCTGTTTAATTATAAGTGGTAATATTCGTTATTGAAGTACGACGTCTAAGTGTGGGAGAGCCAAGCTTCGACACGAATGGGTGCTCGACTGGAGTGATACCACGGCCTTACCGAAAACCGGCGTGAAACACCCACAGCGTTGTATTTCGCCGTGTGTTTGAGGTTACCGGAGGCGCCTTCCCTACTCCTCTCTCCATCTCTTCCCAATCTTCAAATATCCGAAACCCTTTATTAGCCCTAAAAGGCCAGCAACGAACTCGTAACTACAAGGTTTTGCGGGTGTCCATGGGTGGAGCTGATTGCTTACTATCAGGTAATCCATCTGCTTGTCTGCTGAAAAAAAAACGATTCTACGATTAAAATATTTGTTCATTTCGTTTTTAGTTACATATTAAAATAAATGCCTGCACTATTTAGACAATATGAAATAAAATAAAATGGGTTTGTATCAATTTGTTAATGTTTAGTGTTAATATTATGTGTATTTTTATATGCAAATATATTCGTCTGTTGAGTCACCTTGACAGTTTTAGAATTGCGTATATTCTATTATTTTGTTTTTTTTTTCGTAATGGTCTAGCTACGCACCCTGCGCACGGGTGCTATGCTGATATTAAAATTGTGTACTATTTAATGGATATTATTAAACGTATAAACCTTCCTGTTCAAACACTATCTATTTAAAAAAACCGCATCAAAATCCGTTGCGTGGTTTTAAAGATTTTAGCATACATAGTGATATAGGAACAGAGAAAGTGATTTTGTTTTATACTATGTAGTGATTAATGCGATGTACGCTTAGGTGGACAACCTGATGAATGTTAATGCCGCCTATGAAACAATAAGACACTACACGCGGTGTTTCACGCCGGTGGATATTTTTTTAAGCTTGGTATTACTCCGGTAGAGCCGGCCCCGGCGGCTCACTAAGTTTTAATATAATCAAACTTGTCAACCATTATGCGTGTCATTTATTTTTGTAATATTTAAAGTTTGCAGAATCGCGTATTCAACCAATAATATTATATTAATGTAAATTAATATTGTGTACAGATGACACATAGTCCTGGCAGGCCGAAAGGTCAACTTCCTCTGAAATATTCTTTCTTAATTTTTAATGCAAACAAGACTATTCAGTATTGAAACCATAAACACAGATTAACAAGCCTATTCTATGTGGGGCTTTTCCAATTCATCATCATCATCATCATCATCATCATCATCATCATCATCATCATCATCATTACCATCATCAGCCTCTAAGTGCCCACTGCTGAGCAAAGGCCGTACTCACAAGGGAGAAGGTTTGAGCATTAATCACCACGTTCCAATTCGTTTATCTGAATTTATTCCCAGAAATGTAAGGTCATCAGCTATTTAAATTGCATCGTCTTTAAACACTTTTAAGGGTTAGTGTTAGGTTTGCCGTCAAAATTCAATTCAATAAGTTTTATTTTACTAATTGGTGTATAAATGATTGTCGTCCATCATCATCATCATCATCAAAAGTGTGCGAGAGACCGGAGTGATACCACGGCCTCACAGAAAACCGGCGTGAAACAACCACAGCGGTTTGTGTCGCCGGGTCAGTGAGGTTACCGGTAGCCTTCCCCTCCCCCACACCCTAAATATCCAAATCCTTAATCCCCAAAAACATTTGTTGTTACGACGATGGGCGGCGCTGATTGCTTAGGTAAGAAGCCTGCTCGTTTGCCGACCTATCACATAAAAAAAAAAACTAAATGTATGTGGGTATGATCGGTTATAAACTTACAACCGTTTTTATTCCGACAATTTATGATTACCGTTATATAATAGAGTAAAGGTCCGAGAATACTTCCTTGAGGTACACCACAATTCTATTGATGTAAATTTCTGTTCAGGATACATTTTTTTTACTATTTTTAATTTCCACGTACACTAATATCTGATTAAACTTTCTCTTGCCTTTCCTCTTATGCCATAGCAATCTACACTGTTGTTGGATTGAATAAAGATGTGTGGCGATTAATTAATTGGTTCAAAAGTGTCATCGATACCAAATTGGCCAGTCGTAAACTTGTGAAGTCAATTAAGCAAGCGCTATTCTGAGAAGTTCGCGAGTCGATTGGTATAGTCATAGAAAATGATGTCAATGTCATATTTCGTATGTCACAAGGCCGAAAGTCGCGTGTTTTTAATCAAAATCTTGTGTGCTAATGACATCTCGGTGCGTATCTTAATATCGAATATAGATGTATCAATGTTTAGATGGAATATTAAGAGTCATTAAGTTTTTTTTTGCGTGTTGAATACTTGATCGTTTGCCAATATATTAGTGTATGTTTCTTGAGTAAGACATATTTTCCCTTTTCTGTAAGAGCGACTACACAGGCCTCCAACACATGGCATGATGACATGGTATAAAGATTATAGATCTGCTCAGATCGTTATTTGCATAATAAATTTAGATATTTACTGATTTTTTGAATATGAAAACGATAACATAAAAAAACGAATTTTATTGTAACAGTTGCTACGTCACCGCTCAGTAAAAAATTACTAATTCGTGACGTCACAATATATTTGAAATCAACATAAGTAATCGAAATGCTTGGATTAAGTTAGAAAATAAAATACGCGTAAAATTTTTTTTTTTTTGTTTTCATTTCTATTATTTATTGATAGAATCCCGATTTTCTTGTCTCATCTCAAATCTCAAGTCTTTCTTTCTCAAATTTTTAAGTACTATTCTGTTCATTTTTTATTTCAAAGAGCTAAATTATTAGGGATTAATACAAAAATTTATTAGACAAAAAATACCATTCTAGAACGAACGAATTTCTCTCCCAACATCAATCTTTGTACCTACTATCCTATCCTATCTATCTTTGTACCTAGCATGTTTGTGATTCCAAATATAAACCTACCTCACAACCATAAGGTATGTATTACTACGCCCCCGCCCTGGTTATTGATTTTGGATTGCAGTTTGAAGAGATGCGATGAATCTAGGACATCTAGACATGCGCAGAACATCTGAACTTCTACATAAAATTGCAGGTACTCAGGTAGAGATGATAAAATTAATAAGAACTGTTTACCAGGACAAGAGTGTAATGACTGTTTGCTTCTGCTGAGATTGTAATGGTGCCAAGCAACGAACCACGGTTGATAATATCAAGCAATTTTATAAATTAGTAGCCGTATTTCTACAAATACAATGATGTTTATGCATTATTAAGCACTTTTAGCAATCGGTCCATGGCCCAGATTGTCATACTATGGCGTTATAGCCATTCGAATGCTTTACAAAATCGGATAACGGGTACGTTTAAGGCACTCAGAAAGTTGCTCTCATTGCTGACTCCAAAACTAATTGAGACCAAAAGGAAGAAAGTCAGAAGCAGAAGATTTTCAGAATATTATTTAAATGTTAGTATTTTAATACAAAAAAAAGGTCCGACAAAATGATAGCAACATTGCCAATTTATGTTCCAAAATAACGGGTAGGTCAAAATGTATGATGTATGGGCGTAGTCCGGTTGGGATGCTGTGGTTATTGATTGCTTGCAACTTGAAGGGGGTGAGATGATACCTGGTCCCCCCTCACGCTCCCTGTCAGGTCAGACATGCGCATAAATGTTGATTGACAAGGGGTAGGGGTTGCAGAAATGTCAAAGGTTGATCTGCACGTTTATTGAATTGCGTTGCAAAATTATGTACTTGCATAAATAGGGAATTAAAGATTTAGAAACGATGGTAGCTCTTATATGCTCTTCTTTCCCAGAGGGCGATAATGCCCTTGTAGGATATGAAGGTCTCGAAGTTTGAAGAATCCAGGCCTTGAGGCTAAGGAGATAAAATAACCAGAAAAAAAGAGAGGTGTTGAAGACATTCAACGAAGGGATTTGAGATTTCATAATATAATTTTAGGAACTTTTGTTATATACCTATATATGCGATCGATGTGTAAATCTCTTAGTAATATTATATTGTATGTCTTCGAAATATGAATGTGGTTGTATTGCTCACTGGGTCTTTCGGAAAGTATAATTACATGTTACACACTCAGTAAAGGCACACAGACAGCAGTGAGTTCTTGTGGCACCATTATTTGGTCTCGGATGGCAAAATTACCACACTGACAATTTGGAAATTTTGAAAATTGTACCGCAATTTCTTTAAAAATCGTCTTTAGAGGCCTCTAGAGGGTCATGTAATGGCCATACGCATCATGAGTGGGTCGCACGATCTTCGAGGAAGCGGCAAGCAAGGGTAGGTCGCCGCCCGACCAAGACCACACCCGAGCACACGACGCACACCTCTAAGAGCCAAATGGTGGATAGCGTCAGATGGCGCCCAATAGAGCTTATGTTCTCGATACGATCCCGTATGGCCGATGTCCAAGCACGAGAAGGAAGAGGTGGTTTCTACTCAGTAAGAGTCGGACCTCTCAAAAATAAAAAATGTTTTTCGACCAGAATTCTAGTAACATAAGTATTCGTTTTCTACATTACTTTCAAAACCTTTAATAGATCAATAATTGATAATATAGCCAACTTATTTAGTCAATTGTCTTGTCAAAGTATCAAATAGAAATGTGCCTAACTTTACAATCATAACCTATAGGTATCATTTTGCCTCGCCACGTTTATTGATTATGGCTTCCAGTTTGAAGGGGTGAGATGAAT